GACGACTCACTTGAATTCTTACTTCTCCTTCCGCTCTTCGTACTTCTGCCCGAACTCGCAGAATCTGCCCTCACCCTGGAATTCTGTTCTTGTTCTTTGATTGATCTCAAGAGCTTGATGCCCTCCTCAGTCTTTCCCAGCTGAGAAACTATAGCAGTGTTCTCGTGCTGTAGTTCGCCAATCTGCAGCTTAAGCAGTCTGTTCTCTTGCTCCAAGATATCCAGTCGTTGTTTATACTCATTTCGCTCTCGCTGGACCTTGCTGAGTTGGTTCTTAGCCGCTTCCTTCTGTTGGCGCGCAAGCAGTTTACGAGTCTCTTTCTCTCGACGCTCCTCGAGTTTCCGTATTTCTTTCTGATACTTGTGCTCTTGCTTTTTCTTCTCTCTTTCATGCTTCTCGTTTGCCTTTTGTATTTCCTTCTCCGTCTTGGAACTTTCTGTTTGCAAGTTGGTGTCCAGTTTTTCCTGGGCTTGTTCCAGCTTTATTCTCAGTTGATCCTTTTTTTCTTCGATCTTCTGGAGTTCCTTGGTGTGATGGTCGTCTGCTATCGTTAAGGACTGTTGAGATGCTGTGGACGGTGTTGGAATTGATGTATCGATAGGAAGGCCTTCACGTGCAGTAGTAAACTGCTCAGCAGAAGCAAATGAATCCGCTGAGGAGGTGCTCGATGAGCTTGCAGAATCACTGCGCTGTAACTCCAAGTGGCTGCTCGGGTATGTGGGCTTTTCCGCTATGCTAACTCCAACACCAGCAGTTATTCCATTTGTATCTGCCACGGACATGGTGCGCGTGACTTCGTGCAGACTTCCTGTGTCCGCTTTTACTTCTGATTCGTCATTCCTTGCGCAGGCCCAGTCGAGAAACTTGAGTGCGTCCTGACATATACTACTGGGCACATTTCGTTCCACCATGAAGCGAGGTATGCCACCTCCAGGATCGCTGCGTGTGATCATGATCCATTCGACTGGATTAGTCTCTGCGTCGCCGTCTGGTAATGGTATCTCGCGTATCATCTCGACCGACTCATAGAAACCCCGTACCATGTTACTTCGTGGCGGTGCGTTCGGGTGCGAAACAGGTATGGAGACAACCATGAAATGTCGGGGTATCGTGTCAGCGACTTTTGACGCCTCGGTCAGACAGCTATCCGAGGTGATGAGGAGGGTAATGAACTCGCGCGGAGAGGTTGGTCCTGGAAATTGAGCTGAAAGTTGGTATACTGCGATGCTGTCAGCTGTCTGCACTTCCTGGACTGTATGTCACACTATATACCTTGTAGCTGTCCTACGCCATCTACAGTCATGTCCTCAAGTCTCTGGTCTCCTCCAATACCTCGCACATTGCCCTCGCCCGGACCGCCTTGGACCTTCAAACTCTCTTCAAACTCGCTCTGCATGGCACGCTTCCATTTATTGAAGCCTAGACCTTCGTGTACACTTGTCCTTGAGAACCAAGCTCCATGCCTATCCTTCCCGGCCATCTTGAAAACGCTCATCCCCGTAGCGGCATCGGCATTCCCCAGCTTGAGAGGCTTTCCCCATGACTTTTGCAGCTCCTCATGTGTCGGAGCTGGCGGAGGTCGCCGTACCTGGGAAATGGTGAGGTCCTTAGCGCTCGTTGCGGGTTGTTGCTCGGTTCGCGTCCGTTCTGATGATTCGTAAGGCGTGCCATTGGGAGGCGGAGGTACAGAGTTTGCAATCAGTTCTGCTTTAGCTAGTATATCGGATAAGAATCCCTTGAGATCATCGGTCGGGACGTCACTGAATTCTTTTGGCCTTAGGCAAGCGAGCGCCTCATGCAATTCCGCCATGATGAACACTATTAGGACTTGTTGATGGGTGAGGGAAGTCCGGAGATGTTGCAAAGAGGACGGACGAAGCCAAAAGTCACGGAACGCTCAAGCTTTTGGCAACCGCGCTCTGATAACGGCGAGATTTGCGGACTGTGGAAGTTCCGATGTAGCCGTGGAGCGAACTGGCTGGGTCCGGTGACGGTCGATGAAGTCACTATGATACGGGAACAAATGTCGAAAGCAATCTGTCTCAGTCTTGCTGAACGTCTACTGTGTAAAGCATATGGGAATGTAAATTAGGAGAGTAGTTTGTCGAATTCCAAGGACTCCTGTGCACACGACAAGGTACAGCGCGCTCGTATTCCGCGTATTGTTGATTCGACGTCATCCCTGCTACTATGCGTTGGTTCGCCATGCGCAGGGCTGTGGGGTCGCCCGCAACTCCGCCGACATCCCCTCCAACCTCGGAATCACACTTGGTCCGAAGCCGCTAGTGTACCTACGTCACACCATACACTCTTTTGGGGAAAGTTGCGAGATGATCTGGCTCGCCTTGTGCACAGTCACACAACGCATACACCGGTCCTATAGCACTTTGAACGAGATGCACAAACGAGGCTGATGGCTTATACTGTAGGTCGAATCAAAAATCACCAGATGATAATTAAAAAGGGTATTCGCAAGTCTATCCCGTCTATGCTAATGCAAAAGCCAATTCACCCTATAACACACACGCAGCAGTATCTAGAACACTTCTATCACAGGAGACTATACAAGCACGTACAGCGCACACATCTGTTGATAGTTAGCAATCTGTCATCGTTCGGCCGAGATGAGTCAGCTTACCATACTAAGTCCCAGGATCATGCTGCACCAGAACAAGACATTGTTCAGCAATGTACGACCCTTGATCCATTTGCTTCGCTGCAACATGACGATGGGCATCTGAAGCATCATGGCAACAAAGCCGTAGCCTCTGAATTTTCTCGTGATACAGCCCATGACCAGTTCGTGGGCCAGCGCGGAGATGAAAAAGGTGATTATTATGGCCAATGGCCGCGACATATGGTTCTTGGACGCACTGTAAACGTGTCGTCGAAGAAACTGATGCACCGGAATGTTCCACTCGGCACTGTTTAAGTAGGTTAGACGCTGCTTTGGAAGAAATATGTAACAATCCGTACCTGAACTCGAGCCAGTCACAGCTGTTCCACCAGTCAGCGTAGAATTGACGATCGGCAAAGCCTGTACAATGTAAGTGCGGGTAGATTATTGTGGTTTTGAGAAAGACCTACGCGTGATTTCTGCAAATGCACCCAGGATGTACTCGAAGATAACTAGGAATACCAGGAGGAAGGTGATCATAAAGGGGAACAGCAGACGACCAATCGTCTCACCCATGATCAATGCAAAGTCGGTTGCGCTGTTCGAGTTATGGAGTCGCACGGCCGATACGTCGAGCACTGGAAGTATGAATTCCTCCGCAGTAATGACCATGAGAAAGATGCATCCGAACACAGCCAATGTCTTGTAGAAGACCTCGAGCCAACGAACATGAGTGTTGCGGGGATACTCGAGCTCATAGCAGAGCGTTGGGCAGAAGATGAAATCCACATAGTTGTATAAGGTGAGGTTGTTGGGGTACGAGACATTACCCAAAGGTGACGCAAGCTCCAAGGCAAGCTCCTCACGCAAGTGGCCAAGATATTCTGCATTTGGGTCTTTGGGTTCTGACTCGGTCTGAGACGGTGACTTTGGAATCTCGTGTAGATGAGTACGGGGAGTCGGGTATCGAACTGCTGCCACTTTGCTAGCTTGATCAGGTGTGTCGAGATCGTTCAGACGTCTCAGAGTTTCGCTGAGATGACCGTTGTAGAATCTTGAAACGTCAGTCTGGGCCATCATTTGTAGATTCTTGGATAGCGTACGCGTATGAGTGCATTTTCATGAAAATTGCAAGTAGATGTAGGGTGAAGAAGACCTGTGCTGTCCAGCTCCAATCGCGGATGAATGGATATCTTCACAGTCGTTAGTCTATGGTACATGATCGGAAAAGCGACGGCTTACGTAGTCCAGAAAGCAAGCCAGATGGCCTGCAAGACGCTCTGTATAGCCATACCATACGTGTTCCAGCGAAGCACTTTGTCTTTGAGGAACAGCTTTTGGAGAGGCAGTGACAAAGCCGTACTGCAGACCATGGCACCATCAACCAGGCCAAGCTCAACCACCTTTTCCTTGAACAACGCCCACTGCCTCATCTGAAACGGATATCCAGTCTCTGTCATGTTTCGGAGCATCGAGGTGATGACCATGATGGCAAGGCCAATCCAGAACAGTACGAAGAAGCCGCGGAAGTCATGGTGGTCGCTGTTGGGGTCAAAGTGCGAGACGCGATTCTGGTAGTGGATGGTAGGGAATATGCGCTGCTTGTGCTGAGCGCGTATCTGTCGGCGCGCAGACGAAGAGGCCTGGACGGAAGGCGGGGCATCGGGGGGTATAGGGGTCGATCTTCCACTGCGGAGGGTCAGTAATGTGCTGCGCCAAAAAAAGCACACTGGTGATAGGCACCTCGAGAGACCAGAGGCGGCTTCTTTCAGAGTGCCATTTTTATTGAGGCCTTCGTCGCTAAGTTTAGGCTTCAGGAGGTCGATTCTCGTGGGTTTGCGCGGTCGCGGGGAATGAAAGTCGGCGTCCCCATTATGGTTGTGCGTGTCAACAGAGGTAGATTCAGCCATTGTGGATTCAGCCATCATGAGCAAAGAGTATGCGCATGTCGAGGATGTAAGTAATGATGCAAAAGGGGATTGAAACGTGGACAGGCCAGAGTATGATCAGCAACCCACACGGCGACTGGTTCTCGGTCCTTATGGGTAGTGGATAATATTGTAGCCAGGCAAGCCTTCCGAACACCCGCGCAGCATGACAAAAACAGGAATCGAGTAGGAGGAGGATGGGATCACCACGTGGAGAGGTCTGCCTGGGGGCTGCTTGCGCGCACCCATTCTATCGCGGCGACGGTGCTCTAACATTCGTTAGCTGTCAGGGCCGGTTACATCACAGGTCAGACGCGCTTGCCACCACGGGCAGTGCAGCGGGAATCAAGGACTTTTGCCCAGCCAGCTAAGGCTATCATCATCCGCCCCGTAGTCCGTAGCACTCCTCATAGCCAAAAAGGCCGTCATTGGATTCGGCATGCGTGGTGAATGGCCTAAGACAGAATGCGATAACTGTGTGTAGGCGTCTGCGTAGCTGGAACACGCTGGGTGCCTGACTCGCGCGATAGGCCTCCGTTGCCCCCAGCCATATTATCTATGGACGTGTACAATGGCCGAGACGCCCTGGGCTTGTTCAAGTGAGATTGGAGAGGATGCGCTGGACTGATAGCAAGTTGAAGCATCTAGCAAAAGCGTCAAGGAGACATGGTAGCAACCAGCAGTGTTCAAGTGGTTTGGCCTGCCAGCAGCGGTAGCGTGGGCGTTGCCCTCGTTGGTTGTCGGTGGGAGGTGCGTCTGCATCCGACATCTGGAACAAATAACGGCCCGGCCAGGTGGAAGCCGTCCCCCCAAACGCTGTCGACAACCAAGCCCTCCAAAAGGAATACCTCGAGTTGCCCGTGCCCGATTGATCCTGCCGACCGAACAGCAGCCCTCCGTCCTTCATTCCCGCCTCTCGATCGAACCTTTGAACGCTGCTTGGGTGGGGTCCAAGAGGCCACTGCAATGGCTTCCTGTACGCCAAGCATCGCACCGCCCGCAGCTATGGACATGTGCTAAGAATTACCAGTGAAGCAGTTTATTCGCAATGTGCGCGCTGCAAAGACGATTGCTGATGAGCGTGCCGTTGTCCAGAAAGAGAGTGCGGCGATCCGCGCCAGCTTCAGGGAGGAAAGCCACGATTCAAATGTGAGGAGGAACAATGTCGCAAAGCTCCTCTACCTCTTCACACTCGGCGAGAGGACGCATTTTGGTCAGATTGAATGCTTGAAGCTGCTGGCCTCTCCCCGCTTTGCGGACAAGCGGTTGGGCTATCTGGGCACCATGTTGCTCCTGGATGAGAACCAGGAGGTCTTGACCCTGGTCACCAACTCGCTCAAGAAGTACGTCCTCCTCCATCGAGCTTGAAGCCCTATCACGTATGCTAACCGTATTGCAGCGACTTGAACCATGCTAATCAGTACATTGTCGGCCTCGCCCTTTGCACCCTTGGAAACATTGCATCGGTTGAAATGGCTCGAGACCTGTTCCCAGAAGTCGAAACGATAATATCGAGCGCGAACCCCTACATACGTCGCAAAGCCGCAATCTGCGCAATGAGGATATGTCGAAAAGTACCCGACCTACAAGAACATTTCTTGGAAAAGGCCAAGTTGCTGCTACAAGACCGCAACCATGGAGTCCTGCTGTGTGGTGTCACTTTGGTAGAGAATCTGTGCCAAGCAGACGAGGACGAAGACGATGAGAATGGTGTACGGGACCTCTTTAGGCCAACCGTACCCAGCTTGGTCAAGATATTGAAGGGACTGTCATCTTCCGGCTACGCTCCCGAGCACGATGTAACGGGCATCACAGATCCCTTCTTGCAGTGCAAGCTACTACAGCTGCTGCGTGTCCTGGCCCGCGGCGATGCTCAGGTCAGCGAACAAATAAACGATATCCTCGCCCAGGTTGCAACCAACACCGACTCTTCCAAGAACGTTGGTAATTCGATTCTCTACGAAGCTGTCCTTACCATTCTCGACATTGAGGCAGATTCCGGACTTCGTGTGCTTGGTGTGAACATTCTGGGAAAGTTCCTGTCTAACCGGGATAACAACATCAGATATGTCGCTCTCAACACCTTGATCAAGGTGGTTGCAGTCGAACCCAACGCTGTACAGCGGCACAGGAACACCATCCTTGACTGTCTTCGAGATCCAGATATCAGTATTCGAAGGAGAGCACTTGATCTTAGCTTTACTCTGATCAATGAGAGCAATGTACGGGTACTTATACGGGAGCTGTTGGCTTTCCTAGAAGTCGCCGACAATGAGTTCAAGCCGGTCATGACCTCACAGATTGGTATTGCTGCGGATCGCTTTGCGCCAAATAAAAGGTGGCATGTTGACACGATGCTACGCGTCTTAAAACTGGTCAGTGACTCAAGCCTTGGGTTGTGGTTTTCTTCTTGCTAATATGGGATACAGGCCGGCAACTATGTTAAAGAGCAGATTCTGTCGTCTTTTGTCCGACTAATCGCTACCACACCCGATCTCCAGACCTACTCAGTACAGAAACTCTACTCTGCGCTCAAGGAAGACATCACACAAGAAGGCCTTACCTTGGCTGGTTCTTGGGTGATTGGAGAATACGGCGATGCCCTATTACGAGGTGGCCAGTACGAGGAGGAAGAACTTGTCAAAGAAGTGAAAGAGAGTGATGTTGTCGATCTCTTTGAAACTATCCTAAACAGCAGTTACGCCGGTTTGATTGTTCAGCAGTACATCATTACAGCATCGATGAAGTTGACGACACGACTAAGCGATCCCGCACAAATCGAACGTTTGCGACGATTACTACAACGATACTCAGCCAACCTAGATGTGGAGATTCAGCAACGTGCAGCCGAGTACGGCAACCTCTTTGGTCATGATCAGATCAGGAGGGGTGTTTTGGAAAAGATGCCTCCGCCTGAGATCCGAGAAGAGTCGCGTGTACTGGGAGAGGCTACCAAGAAGCGTCACTCAAAGATTGCGAAAAAGAAGCCTGCACAAGCAGCAACCGAGGATCTACTACTCGATCTCATGGGTGACGCTGGCCCATCTGCTGACGTGAATGGTTCTGCCAACGGAACACAACATAGCCAAGATCTGCTCGCAGACATAATGGGCGGGGCTTCATCACCCCCACAAACGTCTTCCCCGGCGCCACAATCGAATGTCGCTAACATTATGGATCTATTCAACTCCGGCCCGAGTAGTTCTCCAGCCCCTGCGCAATCCCGGGCGCCCCCACAAGCCGCATCGTCTGACCTACTTGGCGGTCTTGGTGGTATGTCTTCGCCGCCTCCGCAAAACCCAACACCTCCTGTAGCATCTGGCCCGCCCGCACATCCAGCATACAACAAGAATGACCTCCAGGTCACGTTCCAGCTCAAGCGTGACGCGAATGCAGTGCAAGTTCTTGCACGATTCCGCAACACCGGGAGCCTCACGCAACTGTCGGGTGTGAATCTACAGGCTGCTGTACCCAAGAGCCAGAAGCTGCAGTTGCAACCTATCAGCACAAGCGAGTTGGATGGCGGCCAGGATGCGACCCAGCAAATGAGGGTCACAGCCGTTAATGGCGTAAGTCACGCACATATGATCATGCTATGAATACACACTAACGCTCAGCAGCCGCCTCCAGCAAGGCTAAAACTTCGACTGAAGATCAGCTACTCGACAAGCGGAGGTCCCGTCACAGAACAGGTAGACTGGGCCGAGCCAGTTTGATTGAAACACATCCATACAACCGATTCTGGTAGTTAGTGTCTTCATACGTAGCGAGCACCCATAGAGCAAATGAACATACCCCCAGGCAAACATGCCACAGCTGCATTCCGTGTCCCCCCATCACGATCCCATTACCGTCACAAAGAATGAGCAAAATGCACTAGGAATAAGAATGCGGGAGCGGGTGCCACAAGGTCGCTGTGTGCACGGACGTGTCTTGTCAATAAACCCGGCCGGCCATCCGACCCCCGCTAAACATCCAGGCACAGCGCTTGTTTGAATGGGCTTGCACATCCCGCATTTCCCCCTCCCATGTACTAGTCGCCGAACGTAACGTATGATGCGGATACATGGGATCCCTCTTTCCTGCAACTCCGCATTATTCCGTAACTCCCCCTAGTATTGACCCCCCAGTCTGCGTTCTTACACGCCCTATCCTTGCTCTTTTCCTAAGAAACCAAGTACTTTAATTACGTAGTCCAGTCTGACTTGGATGTAAGACGCACACCGACCTACCCTAATTAAGCCGGTGAGGGGGGGGGGGGGGGAATTCGGTAGCTCAACAAGATCGACCAAGCCCAAGTCTAATAAGTAGTAACGATGATCCCTACGCAAGGCAGGTTGCGCTGCTAATGCACCGTGAATGACCCGCCACTGTTATGTACCATTGCCCTTTTTTCTACCAATATGTAACCAAGCATGGTTGGGCTCCCCCTGGTCATGCGCTGCTAGCACGAGATCGATACCATTCCCCAATCTTGCCAGCAGAAGGACGAGGAAGCATCTGGGTATGCACCCTCTTTTTCTTTGTTTGCCCGTAACGTTCACTTGTTACCTTCCTAATCTGAGGTAGACAAGGATCACCAAATATTGGTAACTCCCCAACATTTTTGGGGGTGTGTCTGGGGTCATGGTGTTTGTTGTCTCTGTCGGCTGACATATATGCGTATTCTAGGTTCTAGGCGATATAGTGATCTGCAAAGGGAGATGGGTTGGCGGGCGGTGAAAAAAGGCATATGTAGACTTGCTTGGTTCCTCACCTTTGAGTAATTTAATAAGGTTTTTTTGCCTTTTTCATTTTTGGTTGCTTGACCTTGGATCTAACCTTATTTTTTTTGTCTTCTGGACGCGGTGTGGAAAGTAGTATATTACTATAGAGAGAGACACACTATTGTTTATTTAAATCTCCGGTTTACTACTCGGAAAGATTGGTCTTGGGTGCTTGACGACGACACGCTGCGATGATTCGACTCGGGGTTTTCGCTCTCACGGCTGCTGTGGCTTCGTCTTTGCCATCGAATGCACCGGTGGATTTGCCAGCGAGACGGTATGAGGCGCCTCCCGAACTTTCGTCCCCGAAAGAAAGAGCACAGGCTGTAGTAGACACGTTCAGAGTGAGCTGGGATGGGTATTATACCTATGCGTTTCCGAAGGATGAGTTGAATCCCGTGACGAACAATGGTAGTAACTCCCGGTGAGTAGCAAAAATGCTTCGATTGAGATTTTGAAGAGCGCTTCAGTAGAGAATGAGAAAGGAAACCCAGCTAACACATCTTTAGAAACGGATGGGGAGCCTCCGCCGTAGATGCCCTCAGCACAGCACTCATCATGGGCGAGAAGGAAACAGTAAACCAAATTCTAGACCACATTCCAACCATCAACTGGGCCGTTACAGACTCCTCAGTCTCATTGTTCGAGACGACAATCCGGTATCTCGGCGGCATGCTCTCAGGATACGATCTCCTACGCGGACCTCTGGCGCATCTCGCAGACAACCCATCGAACGTCGAAGCTCTCTTGACTCAATCCATCAACCTAGCAAACAACCTTTCCTACGCATTTGAGACACCCTCGGGCGTACCCTGGAACAATCTCGACCTCAGCGCCCGCGGTAACGACGGCAACCCCAACGGCCTCGCAACAATCGGAACTCTTATCCTCGAATGGACGCGTCTAGCCGACCTATCCGGAAACCAGACCTACGCAGATATCGTCGCAAAAGCAGAGTCGTACCTACTCTCCCCTTCCCCAAAATCCGGTGAGCCATTCCCCGGCCTCGTCGGCTCCACCATCAGCGTGCAGACGGGCGAATTCACCGACGGCAAGGGCGGCTGGGTCAGCGGCTCGGATTCCTTCTACGAATACCTTATCAAAATGTACATCTACGACCCGAAATTCTCGCAGCTCAAAGACCGCTGGGTCACGGCTGTAGACAGTAGTATCAAGTATCTAGTCTCGCACCCTTTGCCACGACCTGACATTACTTTCCTCGCCGCCTACAACGGCCCACAGCTCAAATTCGACAACCAGCATCTGGGCTGCTTTGATGGCGGAAATTTCATATTGGGCGGCCAGGTCCTGGGACGACAGGATTACATTGATTTTGGACTCGAGCTCGTAAATGGGTGCCATGAGACTTATATTAATACTGCGACGCGGATTGGGCCCGAAATCTTTTCTTGGAATATTACGAATATACCGGCGAACCAGACGGAGCTTTTCGAATCGGCGGGCTTCTGGATTAAGGATGCGAACTACGTGTTGAGGCCTGAGGTTATCGAGTCGTACTACTATGCCTTCCGCGCTACGTCGGATCCAAAGTACCAGGAGTGGGCGTGGGATGCGTTTGTGGCTATCAATCAGACGACGAGGGTGGGCAGTGGGTACAGCTCGATCAATAATGTTAATGTGGTTGGGGGAGGCGGGTTCAGCGATTTCCAGGAGAGCTTCTGGTTTGCGGAGGTGCTCAAGTATTCGTATTTGATTCATGCGGGCGAGGCCGAGTGGCAGGTTTCCAAGGATGGGAAGAATGAGTGGGTTTACAATACGGAGGCGCATCCAGTTAGGGTTCACGGAGGAAGCAAGTGAGAGGGGGGATCCCTTTGCAGAGATTATGTATACGAGGGCTGTTGCTGTTTAGACCATTCATATATCCATTGGTGCGACGCGCGCTTCAGGGTAATGATATTGACGACATTTTCGCCGGGTATAATGCGATCGGCCACGCTGTGATAAAAGTGGCATGTTACTCGAAGAAACCACCATCGCTTTCCTCTGCCTCTTCTTGAGCCTGGACACCCAAAGCTCTCCTCTCACGACGGTTCTTCGCTGCAGCAAGTTTTCCTGCTATCTTCTTTTCCTTGCTCTTGATAGTTTGGTCCAGCTTCTTGTTCTTCTTTTCCTTTGCAGGTGCTGGTGCTGGCAAGTCTTCCTTTCTATTCCTCAATGCGTCCAGCGTGCCTTCTGCCATGGCTTCCTCAACGGTCTTCCACATGGCTACGTCTCCCTTGGGTCCGTCAGCCTCGCGATTCGATTTGTCGCCAGAATCACCCTCCCCGCTCTCATCCGAATCCGCTGCCTTTTCCTTTTTCGATTTTGGGTATAGAGAAGCATATGGCTTCATCAGCGGATAGTATATGGCGTAGTTGACATCGACTTCGGCATTGTGAACTTTTTGCGCAAGTTCCTGTTTCTTTTCCTCGTCCTCTTCGCATTGTAGCTCCTTCTTCAGCTTCTTGAGTATCCGTGTGCCCTTTTGACGATCTGCGCGCGTTAGCAATGTGATCCTCGCAGATGAGTTTTGACCCAGGAATTTCATACCAAAGAACCGCACCTGGTGGTACTTTCCAATCATTTTCCTCCTATACTCGGCTTCCCTGCTACTCTCCAATTTCTCTCTCAGCTCATGCTCACACGCCTCCAGCTCCCTCTCCCTCTCTATCCGACTGCTTGCCGACATCTTGTGGTCGCCCACATTGTCAACATGCGCCAACAAACGCTTCAAATCCCGTATCCTGCTCTTCAGCGCATGGGTGCTGGTGCTCTTGTCAATGTCACTCGACACCTGTGGTCGCTTCTTCGGTTTTTGGTGACCCGACCCTGGTTTGAAAGCGCGGTGTCTTTTGAACGGCTTAGGAGCGGAATTCGAGGCTTCGGAAGCTTCGGTGTGCTTGCGCTTTTGCGACATTGTGGTAGACTGAAGGACGAATGGAGTTGAACAGGAAAGTTTTGGAATGGAGCAAAGGGAAGTTTTAGTGGGGCGGCAGAATTAAGGTTGTCTGACCGCCCGGTCTGCGCCAAGGTGGGTCACGCGTCGGGCGTTCACCCATGGTCGTCCATGCTGCAGGCAACTGATACAATAACACAATGTCTATGGATTCGCCCATTCTTTGCTGCTTCAAATCGCTCGTTAATGGCTAATGACACTTTCGAAACACCGAAAAATCACCAATTTGAACCGTAGCACAGCTACGGCCACTGACTGGTGAAATGGAGGCGGCAATCAGGTGGTCACCGCACTCGACGCAGGCCGATCCTCGGTTTATAATCATCGATATTGCAAGCAATCGACTACGTCTGTGTCAGATTGATGAGTTCAGTAAGAGCAAGGTCAATTACAAACAAATATGTATCCGCGACAAGCTGCCAAACTACACGGCCTTTGACTGGTCGAAGAAAGACCCAAATTTGGTTGCGATAGGATCAACTTCTGGAGAGGCTACCCTCGTTGCACTTGACCCAGACAAGCCTGACAGCGACTACATCCACTCTTTCTCCATACGACACCAAAGAAAATGCAACGCAATTGCCTTTAGCTCGAAGAACCTCTTGGCAGCTGGTCTAGACAGAGTGCGCAATGATGTTTGCCTCAACATCTACGATATGAATGATTCACGAGTCACGGCCAAGGATGATCCTTACAAGAAACTGGCAAGCTCGGAGGCCGTTTCGAGTATCAAGTTCTTTGATAGGCAACCAGAAATGCTCGTCGCTGGTGTGTCGAGGCAATATGTGCGCATCTACGATTTGAGAGGTGTGTTTACATAGCGATAGCGAATGTCAGTCTTGCTCATACCATACAGACTCGAGTACAACAGGCATTGCACAGTTTCAGACGCGCCAAGTACATAACATTGCCATAGATCCCATGGACGAGAATTACTTTTTGTCAGCGGGCTCGGCAGGCGATCCAACTGTGACAGTATGGGATGCACGTTTTGTCAAGCAGCGTGCAACTTCTGGTGACAGTACGAGCAGCGGCGCCGTCTTAGACTTCAAGCCTATCGTAGACAACTCGCAATCCGCATCAATATGGAGTCTTCGGTATTCTGGAACCAAGAGAGCGACGTTCGGTGTGCTTGCCAATACTGGCGAATTTAAAGTCATTGAACTTGCTCAGCACTCTCACCAGCCCACAGAAACTGCAGATACTCCATTTGCACGTGCATGGGCGTCTCCTTACTACACTAAAACAATGCATCACCTGCGGTACCCAGCGCATGGCAAGGAGTATCGGCAAAGTAACAAACAACGTATAGTAGCGTACGATTTTATGAGTGTTGGCAGCCCACTTGAAGGACAATGTGCACTGGGTCTTCATTCCAACCGCGAAGTTGAAGTGCTCAAAGTACCATTATCACCTCCACGACTCAACGTTAGTGCTTTCGAGGAGATTTACAAAGATCGCACTTGCATTGCCAAGGCGACTCCACCAAATGGCACAGTCGCGGAAGATATGATTGCATTGCAGAAACGAGCGCTGCGCGAAAAGCAGAGAAGCGATGCTGGAAACGAAGCAGATCTATCAGCGAGCATAGACAGTTTACAGATAAGTGCTAGCCAACCGGAGCTCCCTCGACTTGAAGAGGGACTCGACGTCAAACTTCCACTTTCAGATTTCCTCGCTATACTCCAAGTACCCAAAAGGCGAGTGCAGGAGGGTTACTCGCTCAACTGCGCTAAGAACAAAGCGGTCGTTGCCAACAACCCGCTCCTAGTCGATGCATGGACATTAGTGGAAAGAATGGATGCCCATGCTTCAGGAGACGGTATGGTAGGCAACGGACTTGACCTGAAGTACCTCGGTGTAAGCTCGATATGGGCCAACGAACTGACAATGTACGACGAACGACTGATCGACCCGGACGCAAAAACAAGCCAAGAAATGTTCCACGATGCGGTGAAGGAGATTGTCGAAGCAATGGAATTACCTCCTTTCCAAGGCGTATCCACTGAATACCCAGAGAACCGCCAACTCTGCCTCAGTCTTTGCGGTTGGTCATTGGAAGAATCCGGCGTCCAAAAGACATGCAACGATCTCGTTTCCGCCGGCGAAATCTACAAAGCCATTGTCCTCGCCGTCTTCCAGGGCTACAAAGACATTGCCCTGGCACTCCTCCGTAGCACACTTACCGCGAAAAAGCTTCCAAAAGACGACATCAGCCTCGCAGCCGTCATAGCCTGCGCCTCACCCTCCTCGGGCGTCTCAGCCGACCAACGCGAAGCCTGCGCCTGGATGGCTGACATGACACCAAACCCGTATCTCAAATCCCTCCTAACCTACTTCATAACCGGTGACTGGACCAGCGTAGTCCATATGCCGCAAATCTCGCTCCACGACCGTGTCGCCGTAGCCCTAAAATACCTCCCAGACTCGTCCCTCTCCACCTTCCTCACCTCCGCTACAAACACCGCCATCCGCACGGGTGACATATCCGGGCTCCTCCTCACAGGTCTCACTGCGCGCTCCCTCGACCTCCTCACCGTCCACATATCCCAGCAACCCAGCTCGGGCTTGCAAAACGCAGTTTTGCTACTAAGCCGTGCTTGTCCCCTATACATCCAAGACCCGCGCTGGACGCTCTGGAAAGACACATACCTCGAGCACCTCCAAACCTACCGCACCTTCCTCGAACGCACCCGCTACATAAAAGAACACAACCAACTCTCCGTCACGCGCGAAGGCCGCAGCGTAAACAAACCCCAACAACCCAGCCTCACAATCCGCTGTCTAAACTGCCAACAAAACCTCGCACTAAGAAAAGATGCAAAAACAGCAAAAGGGCGTTTACTCCCTACTTTCACCTCTACACCCGCTGGTGCTGCACTACCCCAGTCTGCAGGACCAGGACCAGCACAACAATACCAACAACAACAACAACAACAACACCACCACCGCACCTCCTTTGCCGCAAAACCCCCAGGCACCTCCTCCCAACCCCAGCCCCCCCAAAAACCCTCAAAAGCCTCCTCAACACCCGGTCTCCACTGCCCCAATTGCTCCGCCCAAATGCCGCGTTGTGCCCTCTGCATGTTGTGGCTCGGTACCCCGGATCCAGCCCGCCAGGGAGGCTACGAGACGCTCAAGGGAGAGGATCGAGAGGCGAGGCTCATGGTTTTTTGTATGAGTTGTACGCATGGATTTCATGGCCATCATGCTAGGGATTGGTTTGCGAGACATGCTATGTGTCCTGTGCCGGATTGTGGGTGTATGTGTGGGTTGATGAGGTGAAGTTTTCTGAGTGTGTGTGTGTGTGTGAGAGAGAGAGAGAGAGAGAAGGGAAGGGAAAGGAAAAGGGAGAGAGGGAGGGAGGGGGGAATGTAGTTTTCAAGTTAGATGAATAGGAACGCTTTTGTACTTTTATGTCGAAGAAGAAGAAGAAGTCTTGAAATTATTCATTCGGTTCATTTTATACATGATAGCCGTTGTGTTACAGAGAAAAAAAATGGGTTGCTTTATTGCTAGCTTTCCGCCATGCCTCTCTCTCTCTCTCCTTACTCTTGTCATCTTTCTCCTCTTCACAATAATTAGAAACAAAAACTAAACATAGAGGGTATAATCATGCCCCGCCAATGCGGGAAGGGGAACCCCATTCCAGGGCCAATCGTTCGCGTTTTTTCACGTCTTTTTTTGTCGTGAAATAGACCAGACCAGACCAAACCATGTTCCCATGTACGCGCTAACAATGCCACAAAGACCGCAGAAACACAACCCAAAAAACAACAACTCCTGATATATGCTAATGAAGGGGGAAGAGGAATCGTGAGACAATGATGGGAGAGCTCGACTGTTCCAGAACTAGTCTTGACCCGCCATTTCGCTGTCATTGCCAAACTCGTCTTCCTCGTCAATGGCCATGATGTTCGCTTGCGCTGTCATAGTCATCATGTTATCGCCTTCTTCATCTTCGTGGTACATGGTGCCGTCATCATTGCCAAAGCCATCGGTCTCACGATCCACATCTTCTCCACCATTGGTGTTCATAAAGGCACGGAGACGCAGAACCCCGGTACCGCTGAAGACGCAGAAGACTTCGCGCTGGTGGTCGGTAAACTCCGCAGGTGCTTCTCGGCAAAAGGCGAGAAGGTCTTCGCGTAGAAAGGCCTGGATGCCAGTGAGAGAAAGATGGGTCAGGCGGGGGCAGTTGTTCAAGAGAGCGTGAATGCCCTGATGTTGTTAGCAAGAAGTGAGACGATACAATAAGAAAGAAAAAACTTACAGCCAAGGACAGGTTGATGCAGTAGCTCAGATGTACTCTCTCGAGCACACTGGGGGCAATAGGGCCAGAAGTGCCAATTTGCTTTGGCTTGGCAAGGGCGAATATGCTGCGGTCTGTGATGGCGGCGCACTTGACCAGGCCAATGCGCTTGAGCTTGGGTAAGCTTGCAAGCTGAGTGACGGAAGCGTCTGTCAGGGCCGTGCAGCATGCCAGGTCAATGTAGCGGATGCGGTTACAAAACTTGACTAATTGCGCAACACCGACATCTGTAATGCGCGAGCAGTGGCCAAGGTGGATATAGTGCAGATTCTTGCCGAGACGTGTGATGGCCATGACGGCTCGGTCCGTAATGTTGCGGCACTTGGCGAGGACCAGGTTGCGGAGTCGTGGAGCGGCTTGGATGATCTTCTGAACTCCGGCATCTTGAAGTTCCCCACAGTCAGTCAGATCGAGGATGCGCAAACAGTCGTAGGTGGCCTCTGCCGGAAGGCGCAAGAAGGCTTGGTCTGTGATTTTGGCGCAGTGAGCCAGGCGCAATTCGCGGAGGTTAGGGCCTTCGGTGATGAGAGTCGTGATTGATGCATCGTCGAGGTTCCTACAGTCGTGGAGGTCAATCTCGAGCATGTAGCGGCAATTCCGGGCAAAGGCAATTATGCTCCTGTCGCTAAGCTGGGAGCAGCCATTGAGTTTGAGGCGCTTGAGATGCCTGCAGCTCTTGGCGACAGCCTCGAGCGACTCGTCGGTGATTTTTTTGCAGTTTGTAATGTTGAGGCCTTGCAGGCGCACAGCATGCTGAGCCAGAGTGAGCATGGTCCTGTCGGTGATGGACTCGACATTTGTAACGTCGAGGGCGAGGATGTATCTATTGCCCTCGAGCATGGCCTCCAGACTCAGGTCGGTGAGTTTTGTGCAGTTGGTCAGCGTGAGGCGCTCAACACGCTTGCAGCTGGAGAGAGGCTTGAGGGTGCCGTCGCTGACCTCGTGGCCGAGGGCGGCCAGATTCAGGCGCTTGATGAGGCTGCTGTAGTCGAAGAAGCTGTTGAAGGTCTGGACGGTGCGGATGACGCTCTGGACGTTTGACCACTTGTTTGTCGAGGGGCGGTGCCACAGCAGGCCGACACTGTTACCGGCCCATGTCTTGGAGACGAGCATGCAGTTCTTGAGGTCGGTGGGGGAGGAGAGTTTTGCGAAGACGGCGATCATGAGTTCGGCGGGGAGGCGGGAGATGGGCGAGACGCGGTTCTGCTCTTCGATGGCGCGCCTGCGGGCATCGTCGTCCGAGTCTGGCGACAGTGAGGGGGCGAGCGAGGAAAGGGAGTCGTTTGACTGCAGCATGACCGAGTCCTTGTCCTCGTCGTCGTCGAAGCCACGCTCGGGCGAGGTGGAGGCTGACGAGTCTGAGCGTGAGGCGCTGGCATCTCGCTGAGGTCGGCGCGAGTGTCTGACGCGGGCCATGTTTGGGTGCTGGGCCATGGCCATGGTAATGGTGGGCTCGCAAGGGTTTGTGGTGGGTGGGTGGGTGGATGGGTGTAGTGTGAGGTGCGGGGGGGTTTGTCTGTAGTGTGGTCGGCGGGTAGGGTATTAGGGTTGTTGTTGCGGGTGCGGAATGCGGAATGCGGATGGGGCGGTTGGGGGGGTCGAGTCAGGCAGAGATGCAGGCAGGCAGGCGGGAGGAGGCTGACGACGCAGACATGCACAGCAACAGGAGAACGGCAGTGGCAGGACTAGGGAGCAAAGGCCGAGGGCGAGCCTAAATATGGCTATGGGTTTGTGTGTAAATAGAGGCACACGAGTATGTATACAAGGCCTTTGAGGGCTCAGCAGCGCAAGGCCGTGGGAAACAAAGGGTTTCAACGGGGCTGGGCAGTGACGAAAGAGTGGTTGCTGGCCCAGGAGCAGCATCATCAGTGCCATTCTTGTCGTCGGCCCAACGCCGCAATGCCGTCACATGGCCGCCAACGGCCCTGGACTGCGCCCTCTCCTCTCTCTGCCACGACGACTGTCTCTGTCTCCCATCAAATGCATGTCACTGCCAGTGCCAGTGCCAGTGCCAGTGCCCTCGTCTCGTCGGCATCACGGCTGCCTCGAGCCCCGACATTTGCCCTGCGCTGGTTAAGACTTGATCCCCCCCTCCCCACACGTTTCAGGGCTGCAAAAGCAATTGCCAGTGACACGCACTGGCTATCCACGCCAAGTACATGGCGACGTCCTGTCTGCTCAGGTACCGCCGCCCGCCTCTTTGTGGCATCGCCTCGTCATCGCCCAGACGTGTTCGCCTGGCCAGCCTGCAGCGTGGATCCGGCGACGTGTCGAGAGGGCTCAACAACAGTAGTAGCAGCATCGTGGTGCTTGCTAAACACGTTGGCAGCAGAGACGGCTATTGTGTGCTATTCATGTATGTAGCATGTGTGGATGGATATGCACACGTAGATGGATAGTATACTGCACACAGACTGGTCGTATACACACTCGTCCGTCGTCCATGTCCACCGCCTCAAGTGGTCAGGCAGCCACGGCCCGGCCCAATCAGGAGGCGGCGAGCAAAGAGTGGTGTTGGGGCTTGGCGGCAGATGGCCATGGTCATGTTGCTTCTCTTCGCACTGGCAGCCCTCAGGTTCGCGCCTGGCCAGCCCAAGCACATGTCGAGCAGTGCGTGACTTGGATGCCCGGCCCTAGGCATGTCATGGACTAGACAATATACTCACTCACTCTCTCACACACACACACACCCACATGTGCATACATACACATACACTTACATGAACTGTGACGTTGCCTGGCCGTGGCTTTGCCCATGCCCACCAACTTGCAGGGGTCCGTTCACGACCCTCGCTCCCCCATTACACCCATCTCGGGCGCATGCCACATCTATTCACCACCACACTTCTCCTGCCCCTCCGCCACCTGCTGGCCCGCCCTGCCCTGCTGCCTGTCTTCTCGATGCCAAAGACATAGCCTCCCCGTCCTCTGCCTGCTCTGCTGCAGCCTCCCTCACCGCCCATCATGTCGTCGGCTCGCTATGCTCCCTCGCACGCCATGCCCATGGCCCAACAGGCCGCATACCGCGCCCCAGGCCCCGTTGCCGTCTCCAATGCGCCCCCGGGCACCTTTGCCCCGGGCACTAAAGTCCAGGTCGGCAACCACCGCGTCACAATCGAAAAGTACCTGTCCGAGGGTGGCTTTGCCCACGTCTACCTCGTCCGCGTACCAAAGTCGGATCCAAAGACGCCAGAGACTGCAGTCCTCAAGCGCGTGGCATGTGCGGACAAGGAGGCCCTCGCAAATATGCGCACAGAGGTCGAGACCATGAAGAAGCTCAAGGGCCACAGCAAAATCGTCACCTACATGGACTCGCATGCATCCCAACTCAAGTCGGGCGGATACGAGGTCTTCTTGCTCATGGAGTTTTGCTCGGGCGGTGGCCTCATCGACTTCATGAACACCAGGCTGCAGCACCGCCTGACGGAGCCCGAGATTCTGCACATCTTCTCCGATGTCGTCGAGGGCGTTGCGACTATGCACTACCTCAAACCACCCCTCCTCCACCGTGATCTCAAGGTCGAAAACGTCCTCATCACCACCGTCGGCGGCAACAAAGTATACAAGCTCTGTGACTTTGGCTCCACCGCACCCCCGCGCCCGCCCGCCTCGACTGCTGCAGAGGGGAGGCTGATTGAAGAAGACGTCCAACGCCACACCACCCTCCAGTACCGCAGTCCCGAAATGATTGACGTCTACCGCAAGCAGCCAATCGACGAAAAGAGCGACATCTGGGCCCTGGGCGTCTTGCTATACAAACTGTGCTACTACACTACCCCCTTTGAAGAGGTGGGGCAAATGGCCATTTTGAATGCCTCGTTCAAGTACCCGGCATACCCTCAGTTTTCAGACCGCATAAAGGCACTCATAGGTGTGTAGGCTGTAGAAAACAGGCTTCTTGCCATGGCTAACCCTGGGCAGGTTCCATGTTGCGTGAAAACCCCCAGCATCGACCAAACATTTACCAGGTCGTTGCCGAAGTCTGCTCAATGCGCCACCGGCCAATCCCCATCAAAGACGTATGTATAAGATACTGGTTCGACTGTCTGCTGCTAAGACATGCTAGATCTATACTGGCAGGACCCAATCAGAAACCCGCCAGAACCAGCAGCTACCTCCTTCGGAGCCTCAGGTCTCTACACCCCCTCCTGTCGTGGGTCTGCAAAGAGTTGCTCCCACTGTCCAGGTTCAACAGTTGCCAGATATAACGCCAATGAGGAGAGGACGGCCTACTGGACCAACGGACCAACCCCCACCAGGAGTCAGGCCCAGCCCGTCGCCTATAAGGGGAACTACCTCAGACCCCTTTGCGGCACTAGACTCTCAAGATGTCCAAGTGAGGCGTGCTGCTGCCGACGAGCTTGCATCTCGCTTTCCCTCGCTGGACGAGTTCTCTCTGCTGCACGACCGCGGCCAAAAGTTTGAATTTGGCGAAGCACCCACGTCTTCTGATCCGGCACTGTCCAAGCGGGTCACAGAGGCACTGGCAGATGAAGCTTTTGCATCCCCTTCACCCCCAGCTGTCGACTCGACACCTGGAGTGAAGCCCTCGACTGTCTCCTCAGGAGGCCTTTCCAGAGCTACATCACTAAGGAAATCTGCGCCCCGTGAGGCCAATGATAGCCCACACTCTACCAATCAACAGGGCATACAGCAGCCCATTCCACAGAGAGTCAACATGGTATCTACTGGGGTGCAAACATCCCCACGGGCATCTCCTGTTCCTTCACAAAAGTACCCAGACGTCAACAGCCGCCCAATCTGGAAGGTTCCTCTGACCTCGCAACACAGCCGAACCATGAGCCATACGCGCTCGTTTGAAAAGCCGCCATCAAGCCCTCTTTCCAGCCCAGCACTAAAGCCCGAATTTGCTTTGCCCCCGCGCCCGGTGCTGGAATCAAGATCAAAGTCTCAGCTTAGCATTCCGAGATCGCCTGCATCGGCAAGGCCCTCATTGGAGAGCCAGCGCCCATCTAACATGGAGCTTGGCTCTGCTATAGATCGGTCAAGGTCTGCAAACTCAAATTCGCGCCCAGTTAGCATACACGTGGAGTCGAACCTCGACTATCTACGTGATCGAGAAATGACGGGCGGTCGCAGCTTTGATGCTCCGTCGTTGCTACGCCGTACAACTTCAAATGCAGTAGATGATTCAGAGCCTGAAGAAATCAATGTACGATCAAGCGTAGACTTTCTCCGAAGCATCGAGCAGGAAGAGCATGGCCACAAGCATCGCCGCAGTAGTTCACACTCCAAGCACGGTAAACGCGGAAGCTTGACCAACATTGTCAAGGGCAAGTTTGGCGACGCTTTCCGGCGCTTTGAGACAACCCACAAGACACCTGAGCATGAGCGTGATCAGCCGCCTCTAACCCCGGTCGATCACCAACACCTGAGCTCCAAGGGTGGTCTGACCCCTATTGCTGGCTCGGAGACGACAGGTGGATTAAGCGACGATGACCGCAGCGCCATTGACGAAACGCAAGACCTGTCACCAGAGGTCCGAAGGGAGTTGGAAAAGAGACAGTTGGCAGAGGAAGAACGTCGCGTAGAAGCCGCAGCAGCAGAGTACAAACAACGAGTGGCATCCCAGGCTCAAGGAAAGGTAAAGCCCGGTCCATCCAAAGCCTCAACCATCCAAGACCGTGTCAAGAACCTCTTGGACGAAAGCAGCAAACCAACTCCCACCAACCGCACAGCCGAAGGCTACGGCAAATACACCGACACCGGCAAGCCCCTTCCCCTGCGACCCCAGGATCAAAGCGGCACCCCCTCCCGCACTCAACCCCCCGCCATCGCCCGAAAACCCGTAAACGTGCCTTCTCAGCCCCAACCACAAGACATGGCCTACACCAAGCCCTCGTCAATCCGACCCAACATGCCCCCTCCCGTCCCCTCTGCCTCTGCTCCCCCAACAATCAACAACATGCGCAACCCCTCTGGTCCACCTCCCCGCGCGCCCAAACCAAAAGCCCTGCAGACAGGCACCCCCGGTTCTTCGCCCTCCTTGTCATCTACCTCCCCTACCAAGGCTTCTGCAAAAGATAGTATCGCCAACAAGCCCCTGCCGTCGTCGCTGGCAAGTCAGCAAGCCGATGATCTCGATGTGGATACGTTTAGTAAGCGGTACCCTAGTTTGAGTGGGTTGGAAATGGTGGAGACGGAGATTCCAAGGGGGAGAGTGAGGGATGTCTAAGGTGGACTAGACTAGACCACCTTTTTGTTGTTGTTTGAAAGGATTGTGCATGGTGGAAGGGGGAGTGGAAGGCTGTGAGAGTAGTTGGAAGTAGATGTTGAAGTAGAAAGGAAGCAAGCTGAGTTTTTGGGGGGTATGAAATACAAGGAAATCGCATATTTGAGACACATAACCTTTTTTTTTCTTTTGGGAGATTCACGGTCTTGCATAGTATAGCATGTATATATTTGTATTCTTCTTTGCTTCTTCTGAGAAACAAAGAGGAATGAGGGAGAGCGAGTAACGTGTTATGTACGTGGTATAGATATTATGGAGAGAGAAAAACAATATAGCAGGACTATATGAGATGACGTGCTGAACATGTGTGAAAAAAAATGCCTTCCTCTTCTTCCTAGAAAATTGGCGTTTTGTCTACTACGGAGCCCTAACACAACTCTAGAGTACATCACTGCACGAGAAAAAAAAACACGTCAATACAAGTGGGGTCAATCAATCAATCAATCATCAGGCATATGTGGCACACAGCAAAAAATACGTTGAATCCTTTCTCAATTGGTATCACGGCTCTCTTCTCAAGACGAAGAAAAAGAGGCCAGTCTAATTCCATACAACCCCATCACATCGTACACCCCTCACATTTCCCCATCAAACTCCATTGCCATGCCCGACCCGGAAACCGAACAGAGAGCAGCCGAAGATTCTTGACCATTGCCGAAGGGAAAAAGTTGAAAAAAAAGAAGGGCGAGGTCGTCGAAGTGTGCATGGGAGGCCGTCGTAGTTCTCGTAGAGGAAACGAGATACGGACGTTTACTGCTCGGTCTGGAAGTAGTTGAGGAGGATGCTGCGCTCCTGGGACTCCTCACCCCAGTCCTTGACGACGACGCAAGAGCAGTTGACGACCTTGCGGGGGTTGCCCTCACGGTCAATCTGGCCTGTAGACATGCTTGTTAGCCACATGATGTTCCCCACATCCTAGGGAAAAGAAAAGAAAAGAAAAAAACGTACAGAGACCAGCCCACTCGCCGAGCTGCTTGCCATCAGGGACCTTGATCAGAGGAATCTTGTGCTCGGAGCACAGGGCAACAACGAGCTTCTTGTACGCCTCCTCCTCGCATGCCTCGTTGAGGACGCACATGTGCGCCTCGCGGCGGTCGAGCGCCTTGGACGCCTCGCGCAGACCACGGGCAAGACCGTCGTGGATGAGAGCGAGCTTAAGGACGCCCTTGAGCGCCTCGAGCACGCTCATCTGGCCCTTGCCGCCGGACGCATCCGCGGAGACCTCGACCTCGGCGGCCGCGCTGACTTGGGACTTGGTATCGTCTTCTCCGTCCGACTGTTGGGGGGTTTTCACGTCAGCGACATTTCGCGGGGTACGAGCGAGAGGGGCTGGGCCGCGCAGTGTGTTGGGTTGCGTCGCTGACTACCAGCGGCGCTTCCAATGGCACTTGGAGATGATGTATAGGGGGGGTACATACCATGATGTATGATTTATATCTGTCGGGTGTTCCTCGAAGAGTAGATGGTGATGATAAAGAGGAAGATCGAAAAGTTTAGCGATTCGCCGAAGCTAAAATTGGTTTGCGTGGAGAGGTCTAACAAGCGAGAGGCTAGTGACAGATATCACGTGACGTTTCTCTCGAACATCGTCGTCGTACTAACGGAATCCCTACAATATTGCCTTACAGCAATCGAGAATTTCACCGCCCATGATAACTTGCTTTTTTATCATCGTCTCGGCGAAGACACGGCTGAAAAATCTCTGATCCCTGTACGCATTTCATATCTATCAAACTCAGTCCACCAAGCAAGTCAATGCAGCGAGTCAAGATTGCATGACTGATATCATTATGAATCTATAAATTTCGACTACCCCGACAAGGCTTCGTCGCTTGTGCTTGGACCTGCCGAAGCCATGTCTCGCCCCTAACGAAACCCATCCTCCTCTCTGACCATTGCTAGTCTTGGACACCTGAAGTCCGTCTCTGTCTGTAATGAAAGGAGAAAAAGGAAATACTGGCTGTCTGCCATGTGGATATGCTCATATATGTATGGGTCCTGAAACCTAGAAGAGAATACGTCCGCCAACGGGATAAAAAAAAAGGCACGCAGAACCAACGGGGAAGGAATGAGATGACAAATAACAATGGAACAAGTCGCTGAAACGCTATCAGCCCAGGTCTGCACAGGGGAATGAATGGAAGTAGAGTCGAATGTGGGCCGCCCAGCCGAGGCTGTGCGCCAATAACGCCATACACAAAAGGAAACCAGTTTTTGGATGCAGTTAGTACGAAAAAAAAGGGAAATGAAAGGAAACACAAGGCGAGAAGGCTACATGACGATGCAGCACAAGCCCTTCTTCTCCTTGACCTCTTCCTTTGGCTCAGCCACTCGAGTAACTTCAGGCTTTGGTTGTGCGGGTACGATAGGAGGGGCCAATTTGGGTGAAGGAGCGCGATCGGCTCCTTGAGGTATTGTTGGAGTCAACTTGTAAGCACTCTGCTCCATGGTTGGAGATTTGGCAGTGTTGGTGTCGCCCTTCTCATTCGATGAGGACTCCTGCTTTGTAGGGCTAGGAAGGGGCCAGGCTTCTTCTTCCCGGGCCTTCTCAATAGCGATAGGGTCGAGGTTGGCAAGCTGCGAAAGTCGCTTGCTCATCATGGGATCATCGTTCAACAGACGGAAATCCTTGTCGTACATTGAGCCAACTCTGCCCTCGTTCTCCCACTGCTCTTGCTGCATTCGCTTCGCGTGGGTGGGGATAATCTGCTGGTCCGGAGGAAGACGCGGGTCTGGTTTGTACATGGATGCTATCCACGGTGCCTCTCCTTCTGGCCGGTGGGCAGTAGTAGGGCGTGTGGCCATACCGCCGCTTGTACCAGGGCGCTTGTTAGGAGGTGAAGTGCTGGACGTAGTGCGAGACTTGGTCTGCTTCTTTTGGACGCTAGTTTTTCGCGATGCGGATGGGTTTTGCTTGCCCGCTGGTTTTTTGACAGGCGACTTTTGCGGCGACTTGGGCGGAGAATAGCTTCCGGTTGAAGTATTGCGCCTGTGACCATGATGCATCATCCTTTCTTGTCCATCCTCGTAATCGTCAAGCAGCACCTGGCTACCTACACTGCCACTGCGGACGCGCGCGCCCATTGTAGCAATGGACTCCCCGTTCAAGTGGGTGCTTCCTGCCCTTGACCTAGGAAGCGGCGCATCGCGGTCTGCTACCGAAGAAGGAACGGGTATACCACTCGTCTTGGGTAGTGGAATGCGAGATGTACTAGGTCTCACGGTGTGGTTCGCCTTGGAAGACGTGGGTTGGAATTCCACAGTCTCGTCCTGGAGTGTTGGGCTTGTAGTGTGGTTTTCATACGCCTCCTCGTCGCCAGCCGGAATAGTGGATACACGTTTCCTCGGCTCGGACCGCTCATCGCCGTTCTTTGACTGTTCGGTCGATTCCGAGTTTGTGCGGTCGCGTGCACGCCGGCTTGCGCTTTGCGAACGACTGTTGGACCTGCTAGATCGCCCGACTCTAAAGCCAGCCTCTTCTAGTTCCCGAGTTTCAATCTCCTTGAGTTTGTCTCGGTGAATCCAGTTGTTTTCGTCATATTCAGGGTCTGACTGACCCCCCTTGGAAGTCTTTTTCTTGGGCTTTCCCTTGATGCTGGATGGGCCTCTTTTGTTGTTGGTATGAGTCTTGTAGTACTCCAAGACACTGTCCTGGTCAGTGTTGCTGGCAATCATTTCCCCGCTCTTCTTCTTGTGTAGTTCGTCGACGCGATCGGAAACGGGCTGGGATCGGCCCTGATCTTGAGAGCCCCACGTAGGTGAGCGTACGGGCTGAGCAAAGCCGTTGACCTGCGAGCTGTAGGACTGATGGGCACCGTGGGTGTAGGCGCCGTACTCGGACATGTGGTGTTCTTGGTCAAGCGACTCTCTCTGTGCACGCGGTTAGCAGGCTAGTCCATGCACTGACATCATTGGTGAAAGTGGGAATTATGTGGCAAGTGGGCAGACTTGGCGAAGCGGAAGCACCATGGTCCAGCGCTGCAGTAGCGCATCTAGTGCGAGGGCGACAAGTGTGTGATGTGTTGTGAGACATGGTGGCAGCAAAGGGGAATTAAGTACGCACCAAGCCGTTGACGGGAACAGCGAAATCCCAGGATCCCCGTCCGCCGTGAGAGCTGCTGGGCGGTGTCAGCTGCTGGATGGGGGCTGCTGTCTGGCGAGAGGAGGCGAGAGCAGCCATAGACGGTGGTGCAGAAGTCGAGGAGGGAGGCGGCGTGGAAGATAGAAAGGACCCGGAGGGGGGAAGGAGGCGCGAGTGACGATGTTGACAGCAGGCGTTGCCAGCCTGTACGCCCGGGGAATGAGGCGAAGGTGCTAGGAGACGACGGGGGTTTGGCGGTGGGCGCTCGTTACTATGGAGCACTCGTGACTACCAGCAAAGCGCCATGGGTGAGCAGGAGCAGAAGACGTGGTGGGTGTGGGGACACACGGATCCGAGGCGGCGAGGGGCGGTGCTTTGGATGCGCGTTGCAAGCAGATTCCCTGCAGGGCCGGCCGTTGAGTGGTGACAGCGGACTAAAGTGAAGGGGACAAGGAAAAAAATAGTGTACAGTGGTGGTGATGGTGGAGAGGGCAAAGGAGAAGGGTAGCGATTGAAGGGTCGACGTCGCGTGCTCAGCGTTCCTGCAGCTGCTAACAAGAAATGCGTGAGCAAGGCGCGACGGGATGAGGGAGCCCCGTCAGGAGGAGAGAGGACTTGAGAGCTGGAGAGCGCCGTCGAGCGCTCAGAGCCGGGGAGCAGGGCGATTCGTGCTTGGCAGAAGACTGCTCGGGCCTCGACTAATCTGCGGCCCTGGCTCCAAAAGTGGCTTTGGGGCCGTCATAGGAGCAGCAACTCCTGGAAGCCGACGGCATGGCTGCGTCGACTATTGATTGAGTTGCGAAGAAGCAAATCCGCATCCTCACTCCCTTGCGCGCACCCCCTTCTGGCGTCCACCCCCCCCCTGTGGCCGTCTCCCTTGTCGCCGCTCACCACCACCAACAACATCGTGTAACAAGACCCGGTCGCCGGACAGACTCACGGCGCACCAGCATGAACCGTCTGGTTATTATTGCACGTGTTGTGCACGCCGACTGCCCAATGCACAACTGCCAGACAAGCTTCCGTCTCCCTGCGCCTTTCCCGTTCCTGGCAAGATAGTCTGCGGCAACGGCCCAGGGTTCCGCGTCGTGACCAGTGGGACTCGTCTACTTCGAGTTAACCAAGTGGTAGTGCTTAGGCAGCAGAGCGGACGCTGGCACACGACTCCAAAGTTTGTGAGTATATAGCAGGTATATCGACATACGCATAAACACGCTGCCACCATGCACCAAGGAACATCCCGTCGGAAGGATGCATGGCCAGCCCATGGGACGACCCACGACCCGCGTCCAACGGCCGGGTCGACGGTGGGTTTAAGTAGACAAGATGATCACCATCAAAAATCGTCTTCGATACTCAGTCTGGAACTCCAAAGAATCCAAGCTATGAACCGGACGCGATCATCACTACCAGCCAAACGTTTCATCGTACCAAAACACATCGTGGCCCTTCTTCACCCATACCTCGACATTGCTCCTTAGATCGTCTGTCATCCGCTTGGGGCCACAGCAAATCACAGCAGTCCGCACCCCCTTGCTGAACACCTCGTCTACAATTCCCCTGAGATCGGGCCTCCCACTCTTGATCGCCATACCCTTGCGTGGCTTTTCCATCTGCTCCTCCATGCTCAGCAGCTGCTCATTCTCCTGCATTTCAATCGCCTCGCCATCTTCGTCATCCGAATCAACGGCAAATGCACCACCAGACGCATTCGCATTGACTTGCAGATTTGGTCCCGACGGCCGTGTCACATAAACCTCCACGTTGCTCGGTCCGTGCAGCAGCCCATTTCCGTTCGCTTGCATCCCTGCACCGCCCTCATCGTCATTGTCATCGTCCATCTGCTTATCCCCAGATTGCGAGTTTGCAGGGAATGCCCACTGTGTCTCGACAAGCTTCTGCACTGCCCATATGAATCGGATCTGCGTGCTTGTCGGCGTGAGGCTGTGAAGCTCGCGAATGCTCCGATAGATTGGCATAACAAAAGTTGCTCCCACGCCACCAGCTACCAAAAGCACTTTGTCATAATCTGACAGGTCTGGCAGCCGGGTCGATCCGCCATAAGGCCCCTCAAGAGTCAGTGGCAATATTGGAATGTCGCCGCCTGCTGTGGGCAGCATGGGTACGCTGCTGCCCCCCTGTGCCAGAGATCGCGCAAGCTCCGCAAGGTACTTTGTGTTCCCGTTGAGCGTTCTCGCAATCAGTAGCAATTCCTTGTCTTTAGACGGGAGGGATGCAATCGTGAATGGGTTTGTCTTGTTAACAGCGAGCATTTGATCGTACCATTTGGGAGTCTTGCCTTGATTCCCGGGTTTGCTGAGGAACACATGCTGTCCAGGTTTCCAGGTTAGAGCTTTGCTGTCCGATGGTAATGGAATGCGAACTTGAACCAGGTTGGTACCGGGAAGAAGCTTGATGGTGCCTTGGTACGTCTTGAGACGCAAAGCGCGGAAGATGAGATGTAGAGCCTCTACTGCAATAATCTCATACACGTATACGCGGAGATGCGATACGTGAAGGAATAGCGGCACAATAATCAAGTTTGCAATGGCAATGTGTGAAATGTAGAAGACGCGGTAGTTTCTCTTCCGCACAAACCCAAGGGCAGTGGTGCTGATGATGGAAAAAAGGATGATGCTGATGAGGCCCCAGATCACGTCCCAGTCCTTGATTCGCTTTGCAATGAAGCCAGACAAAACGAAAAAGTTGAGGTAGAATGCCGTGTGCAGCAGGAACAGAAGGAATACGATGCGTCCTAGAATTTGGTGGAAGTTCTTAATCTGCTCATGTGAGAGTCGCGTCAGAAATTGCACCGGGCTGTATGGTGCTCGCATGGCCAGCAGGTAGTGAATTGGTAGTTGTGATGCGCCAATTTGCCCAAATCGCTTCGTCAGATGAAGATAATCTACCCATAATTAATCAAACAAACAAACAAAAAAATGAAGCTCGAAAAAATAAATCAAACATACCTTTTCCAGTGTGTGCAACTGAGAGGTAGAGCAGCCATATTGTCCACGCAGCCGCACCGATCCACTCTCCTCTTGTTCCCCAGGCCCAACCCCTAATGGCATCTTTTCGCATCCACCACATGATCCTATTGCACCCGCCATGCACCTTTCTCAACCAGCCCAACCTATCATTTGTGCTTTTTGCAAAGGAAGGAGATTTAGGCTGATCATATTTCAAGCCACTTCTGATGACCCATGAAATGGCAAAGCCCAGCTGGAATAGCGCAAAAATGACCAGCACCGACCACTGTGCAACAAAGCCATACCAGTCCAGATACTCGCGGCGCTGGTGCTTCTGCTTGTCGTCGAGAGATTCAAAGTAGTACCCAAAAGCCCAGTACCGATCCGTCGTCACCTCGTGGTGACCCTCGTGGCGGCGGAGAAGGAGATCCATACTGGTTTTGTCAAAAGCATGCGGTGTTAAGCTTTTATAGAAGGACTTGCCGCGAACAGTGGAAACCTCGGCTAGATAGCAACAACGACTAAGTACTCTGGCGGTGACGGTTTGCTAACAACAAAAAAGTCCGGATCCAGACAATCAGTGTGGAGAGCTGTTTTTCTTTTTCTGATGATATATACTTCGGTTGTTGTGTACGTGTCACGATCACGGCCACAAGTCGGAGGTTGGTTGATGGCTAGACTTTCCCACCTGGACGCATTTGCTGACTGAACTGGCGCCAAAAGGGCGATAAGCCAATGGGAAATGTGTTATATTCGGACAATGACAGGCACCCCCCCCCTTTATTCAACTCTACCTACCTTTCAGCCCTTTCTGATTCCGAATTTTCGTCAAACTCAGTTTTGGGGTTGTCGTATGGTTATGCGGCGGAAGTTGGGAGGGGGGGCTTGAATAAAGAGGCGTTGTATTCAAGCGTTGACGGGCATGGGTCTAATTTGCTACACAGGCGGTTAGGCGCACCCCGCTAAACACGGTCATGCATGGCCAAGCGGCGTGTGTGGCGCCCATGTGTACCACAGGTGGTGCAAGGTGTCTTCCTAAACTGGTCATTATTGGTAACGAATTGCAATATACGTACATGTACACTATGTCTGCTACTGCTCCCAAGACCCCGATTTGGCTCGACTGCGTGTGTACCTGCTTTTATCTCCTGCGCATCCCATGAATACTAACCCTCGCCTCGTAAGGATACCGGCCATGATGTGAGTGTGATAGCTACATCGCTGCCCGCTTGTTACTCAACACTGTGCCTCAGGATGCATACGCACTTCTTTTGTGTGCCCATGACCCTCAAGTCGAGCTACTTGGTGTAAGCACAGTTCACGGCAACGCTGCGCTCGACCAGACGACCTACAACACTAGGGCGATACTCGAAGCCATTGGTAGGCGCGATGTTAAAGTCTGCTCTGGCGCAGCGAAACCGATTGCCCGCGATGCTGTACACGCAGCCGACATCCATGGTACCTACAAGACTCAAAGCCCAGTGAACATGCACTGATTTTTTGCAGGCGAGTCCGGGTTAGATGGAGTCACGTTGCTCCCAGTGCCAGTTGAGCCAGCAGCCACCGATGTCGACCATCTCGAGGCCGCATACCGGGCGCTCATTGCTACGCCTCCAGACACCGCCTGGCTAGTTTCCACAGGTACCCTGACCAACATCGGCTTGTTATTCCAGAAATACCCTGATCTGGTCGGCCACATCAAGGGCCTCAGCATCATGGGAGGAGCCGTCGGCGGAGGCTTTACAGATGCGCCAATGGGCAAAGTAGAAGGCGAAGGAGAAAGATTTGGCAACTGGACTCCCTACGCCGAGTTCAACGTAAACCTACCTTTTCCCCGACTCTTATTCTTCTCAAACCACAAGGCTAACAACATCACAGATCTATGTAACCTACCTCACTCTCCCATACTTTACCACAACCCAACCACTAACTGACACCCACAGTGCGACCCAGAAGCCTCACACTTCATCTTCTCCAACCCCATCCTCCGCCCCAAAACAACCCTCATCCCCCTCGACCTCACCCACCAAGTCCTCGGCACCCGCAAAGTCCGTCAAACCCTCCTCTACGGTTCTGCAATCTTTGATTCCGCCTCTCCAGCAGAAAATGACCAAACACCAACCCCCTTACGCGCCCTCTTCACCCAAATAATGTCCTTCTTTGCCTCCACCTACGCGGAAGTCTTCTCCATCACCCAAGGCCCACCGTTGCACGACCCCCTCGCCGTCTCCGCAGCGTACAACCCGCGCATCTTCGATGACCGAGACGGCGAGCGCTTCCTCGTCGATATCGTAACGCAGGGTATTCACTCGTCTGATAAATCGCTCGTCGGTGAGCTCGGCAGGACAAAAGTGACGAAGCTTCCTCCTGGCCAGCCTGGCTGCAGGATCCCGCGAGCAGTTGACCTGAATGCTTTTTGGGGGAGCATCGAGAGTGCCCTGCAAAAGGCTGATGCTGTTAGTCCATTGCCGAGGGTTGAGCTTGAGGTGTTGGAGCGTGTGGGTGTTTTTGAGGGGGTGACCAGGCCCAGTGAGATTTAGATTTAGATACTAGATCTAGATCTGAGAGTAGCTATAAACGGATGTCCGGGTTCTGTTCGGATTTGCGACTTTTCTTCCAACAAGAGAAAGAGGGGGAGCATTGTTTGGCGGATAGATAAGATTGTGGTGAAGGATGGCTAAGCATATTGGTTCCAGACTCTTTTTCTTTCCCTCTTGTTCTTTACTTGCGGAGCATGGATAGGGTTGGTCTTGGGTCTTGGGGTCTTGGTTACTTTTCTAGCCTAACTGGTAACAAGCGTACATGTGTACGTGTACATGTGCGTGTCTGACTTTTTCCCTCTCTCCCATCTTTTACATCGCCGATGTAAGCAGTCTTTACGATACGATGTAAGATTCACCAACTCGCTTTCATCGGAGTATCTTCAGGTCCTCGGGAGGAACCGGTGGTTTTTTTTTCTCCTTTCTGGAAGGGTTGGCATGGTTCTTGATAACTCTTTTTTCCTGTGTCCACGTGTGTAAGTATGTACTGGGACTAGAGGAAGACTGGGAACATGGGGACATGGGGTGGCTGTGTTTGCTTCCCAAGACAGACTGGCTCATTGCCATCAAACTGGGGTGTTTCAGGAGAAGTTTCCTCGTGTTTTGTCCAAATAGACTTCCGAGCACCGCAAGTGCCAGATATTGTGGTGTGCAGAATGTTCGCTGGATTTACCACACATTGTATGCCTGTCTATTCCCCCCTTACCTCGAGTTAATCTATCGGCGATATGCCAAGTGACGCGTATGTTACAGCAATATTAGTGTAACCCGTTTCATATCACGGACGCAGGGTGGTCTACAGCATGCTTACAGCCTCTAAAAATACAGTGTGCTCTCTCGCCCTTAATAAAGCCGCCGCAAAAGGCACGTTACGTATCCTATTTCCATAATGGCTCGGTAATATCACATCCTTGCTTGTGTGATGAGCCAAGTGAAGACTAGAAGCATTACAGTCATACGGAACCTTCCTCTGAATCGAGATCTAAGAGTGTCCAAGTCGGCTTGGCCGTGTGAGTACTAAGATTCCAGCGAGGAATACCCGTACGTATTGTACCGTCACGTTAAATTACCGGACAAGATTACTGGACAAAGATGACAGCGAAATCAAAGTGTGTCCGAAAAAGAACACGAAATGGGCGTTTAAGTAAGACCGATTTGGCTCAATATCCGTGTCCTAAACTTTGGGCCCCGCAACTGTTCTCCCCACAAGCGTATGTAGTGTGTAAGTATGGAATAGGGGTCCGTTTTTTGGGGGTAGTAATGTGGGTGCAGCTAAGTTGTACGCAGCTTGGCAAACTGAGTGCACTCGCATGTCCCGCCCGCTCTTGGTTCCCAAGAGATTCCGCAGCGAGGTCCAAGACATGCGACAGACGTCAACAGACCTATGCGCGTCCATGGCGCTCGTCATTGTGCCGTGGTATGCGTTGCCGTAGGCACGTGGCGGTGCGGTTTGGCAGACGAAAGTGGCTGATTTCCTCAACAAGAGGTGCTGTCCACTCGGTCCAGCGGCATTTCGTCCGGCAGCTCCATGGGGCGAGCATGGCGAGAGGGCATGTGGCTGAGAGTTGGATCTGGTGCCAAGATGTGGCGTATGCAATGGACGCGGCGAGCTTTGTACTGACCCGAAAGAGTGCGACGGATATCTGCTCCGAGCGCCTACTATACATTGCAGAACGGGCGGCATGTCAGATCGAAGCAACAGTCTGGTTGAGAGTGTCAGTAAATGATGTCGCGGCGATACCCTGAGACGGGGCTAGCAAACGCTGGTCCAAGCTGGCACAGCCATAATGCCAATACCCTCAAAAATTCTGGGCACTCTTGGCTGGAACAATTGCCAAGTGGGCAGCGGAATCCCGCTCGCATATTAGCAATATCGACTCTCATGGACCAACTAATAATCAAAGTTGGCCTCTCCATGCTTGTTGGTTGGCAGATGGATGAATGCAATGTAGTGCAATACAGGGAGTATTTTGCCCAATCAAGGACGCGGTGCACGATTGCGGCTGCTCAGGTCGAAAGGCGCCGAACGACGTCAGCCGACCTAGAAGAGGCAGCTCGAGTTTGGTGTGAAAATGGGGGGTTAGAGGCATGGAGACCAAGAGCTAGGTTTGCGTGAACCGGATCCAGGGCCGAAAGTACTTAACTGCTAGTGAGCCATGGCTGTCAAGGCGACTGGGACGGTGGTCGTGGCGACGGCGTGGTTTCGAAGCGTCAGAGTTACGTGTGACACAATGCTGGGATGTGGGCGGAGAAGCAAAGGGCAAAGGGCTACAGAATGAGAGCGCTACATGTGTGCACGAAAGCAGGTAATCAGGCAAGCAAGCAAGTGTGATCCTTGGGGGGCTGCTTTGGCTGCTTTGGCTGCTGCTGCTGCCAGACCTGTTTTGTGGAGAGGATGGCGGGGCATAGTGGCCGGCCGGCAAAGAAGAGTCGCCACTGCAGGCACGCGGCCTTTACCGATGACGGGTCAGCCAGAGAGGGTGTGTGGGTATGGCCGGACAAGAATTTCCGCTATGCTCCAAGAACTCCGCCTGAGCTGGGCAGGCAGCAGCAGCAGCAGCGACTGGGTTGGCAGCACGTCGCAACAGCAGGGAGACGGGCAGCGTGTGAAGAGGCGGGCGGGCGTGTTTTGCAGCGGCAACAGGCAGCTCAGGGCACAGCGAGTGAAGGCTACGGGCTACGGGGAAACTGCCTGTCGGAGCGCGATGGTGAAAGCGAAAGCGCGCAACCCCCCCCAGCTGGCAGCGGGAGGGCCGGCTGCTGGGAAGGGCAGAGAGAAGGGCATGGTGGGCTGGGTGTGTCGGCGTCGCTGTCGCTGTCGCCCCAACGGCCAATGCCAGCACGCGCCGATTCGTCGCTGAGGGGTTTTTGGGATGCGTCCGATGCGACCGGCTTATTAGGCCAAGGTCCAAGCGCGCACTAGCGCGGCAGTCTAAAACTTGGCCCCAAGAAAATTGGCAGGAGCAGGGTGTGACCAGCTCCGCTCCGAGCACTGCCCAGTCCCCTACATCAGACGCTCAGCGCCCCCCTCCCCCCGCGAAATCCATCTTGCTTGTCTCGGCGCTCTTCTCTCTCTTCTTATTCCTGGCCTCCAAGGACGCGCCTTTGCCCCCCGCAATCTGGTCCTGTCCAGTCCAGTCTCGCTCAGCCGACTGCACTCTTGCCTATCTAGACGCTTTGTGGTCTGGTTTTCTCCCTCCTTCCTCCTCCTCCTCTTCTTCTCTCCACTTCCAAGCACTCCACAGCAACTCTACTACTCCCTGCCAAGAATGAGCGACGTACAGAACGCCGTACCAGCGGCGGCCACCACACCGCAACAGCAGCCTCAGGGCACCCCCATCCAGCAAAATGCCCCAACGCCCGCCTCAGTCGCTGGCGCTGGCTCCGGCGACCAGCTAGTCTGCCAGTGGCAGAACTGCGGCGACCGCCTGCCATCCGCCGAGCAGCTCTATGTAAGTAATGCTCGTCTTGTGCTCAACCTACCCTCGGAGCGCCTGCAATACCACCATCCCACAGTGTACTGACCATCGACCAGGACCACGTTTGTGAGCGTCACGTTGGCCGCAAGAGCACCAACAACCTCAACTTGACGTGCCAGTGGGGCAACTGCCGCACAACAACCGTCAAGCGTGACCACATCACCTCTCACATCCGTGTTCACGTGCCCCTGAAGCCACACAAGTGCGACTTCTGCGGCAAGGCCTTCAAGCGCCCCCAGGATCTCAAGAAGCACGTCAAGACTCACGCCGATGACTCTGTCCTGCTCCGCTCACCAGAGCCAAACCGAGGCGGCGCCCACGGCGCTCAAGGCTACCCGGGCCAGAACGGTAAACGTAAGTCCTCCTCATCTGACTTGTCCCAAAACACATCTCCTTGGACTCGTCTTCCCTCCGTCCCCTTTCAATATCTAACAGTCGGCTACAGTGGTCGCTGACTTGCAGGCGCTTGCCGCTACAGCGAGTGGATATCAATATCCCGATGGTGCACTTGGACCCAATGGTGGCTACGGCCAACAACACCCCGGCGGTGCTCCAGCTGGCTTCTATGGAGGCCCACCCCAGAACTCTGCTTATGGACCCGTTTACTATGCAGTCAACCAATCTCAGCAGCTCAACAACGACTACGAGATCAGGAAGCGTGCTGCTTATGATGCTCTCAACGAGTTCTTCGGAGATGCTAAGCGTCGTGCAATTGACCCTACCACCTACTACGACGTCGGCCAGCGGCTCATGGGCCTGCAGGGTGTTCAGCTCCCAGTCCTCGGCGGCGGCGGCGGTTACCAGGGCGGCATGGGCGAGTACGGCCACGGAGGCACCATGGTTGCTCAGGGACAGCACCCACCCATGCACCACCCCTACTCTCTGCCACTGCCTAACCTCAGGACCAAGAGCGATCTTCTGAACATTGACCAGTTCCTTGAGCAGTTGCAGAGCACCGTCTATGAGAACCCCAACCACGCTGCCGCAGCTGGTGTTGCTCATCCTGGCCACTACATCCACACTGGTGCCGGTTACCGCTCCAGCAACTCACCACCCGGCCTCTCTTCTAGCCACTCGCAATCCTCCCACACCACTGCTATTGGATCTACTAGCGTCGAGACTCCAGCCTTGACCCCCGCGTCCAGCGTTCTATCCTACGGCTCCCAGCACTCACCTGGCGCCTCGCACTCCAGCGGAGTTTCTCCTACATCAAGGAACTCGATTGGTAGCATGTACCCCACTCTTCCATCTGTCAGCGCCATGTCGGACATGTCCGCTGCAGCTCCATCATCGGGACTTGCCCCGGCTTTCGACACCGACAACCGTCGACGATTCTCTGGCAACCTTCTGCAGAAGGCTGCCCCTGATCGATCCGAGAGCTCTATGGATACTTCAAGCGACGTCGGTTCTCCCAAGGATTCTGAGCATGATAGCCTTCACCACAACGTTAACCAACTGGCTCTCCACTCTCCCAAGGTTGACCCTGCTCTTCGCTCGCCAAGCGTGTCTTCATCGACCACCGAGCAGGGCGACTCATCTCAACAATCTTGGGTTGAGAACATCCGCGTAATTGAGAGGCTTCGTGCTTACCTCAAGGAAAGGCTCGAGGCGCATGACTTCTCCGACGACGACGAGGACGTCAAGCACGACGAGGAGCGCCGCATGAGCGATGATGATGCTCACAATCTTTACCCAGTCTTGCGCGCTGTGCAAGAAGGACGGGAATAGGTCTGACGTAGCTCATAAAGGTTCATGATGCTTTGCGGAGTTTGGGCTGGGAGATTGGCGTCAAGGCGTTCGTGAGGAACCACTACCGGTCGAGGAATAGGCTCAGGGTACTTTGTTAACACGGCCATGTCTTGCTTCTGTTCTTTGTATGGTCACTACTAGGGAAAATGTCTTTTACGACCGATTTGTTGAGTTATACATTAGTTAGTTATGGAGGTCGAATTTCATATGTTTCAATCTGTTAACATTTACTGAATAAGTCTACATTGTTGCTTGGTAGTTGAATGTCTGCCAACCTTTGCGCTGTGCTGTGGTACTTGCTTGGTATGCTTCTTTATCGTTCGCCAAGCCCACGGCCCATGTGCATGTGTAATCGGCCTTAATCCCCCACACTGATACCCGATACCAACCGTCATCGTTCCCCACGTTCCTATCTGTCCAGAACGCCGGGTGCTTATAATTATAGTTTTACACGACCCACTCGGAGCCGCGTGCCATGCATTGCGGCATGTGAGCTTTGGTCTCTTTGCTTTCTTACCCGTTAACTAGCCACCACACGCACGCCTGCATTGTCCAAACAAAACGACAAACCATCTTTGTTTACAACAAAATCCAGTCTCGTACATCAAGACATCATGGCATACGGGCGAGGAGGTGCGGGTAATTATTATGCAGCTAAAGAAGAGAGTAAGAAGGCTGCCGAGGTGGGTGCCTACACGAGCTCTACAATCTAGACATTACGCCCGAGTTGACATTATATCCAGGACATTGAGGCAAACCATTCTGGTTCATCCGTGACTCCAGCCACAGCGCAGCCCTCTAATGCATCGCAAAGTTATGCACACATGGGCCGGGGCGGGGCAGGCAACTGGTATCAGCCTACTGAATTGCAGAAAGACGGTACCTTCACTCAACCTGGCGATTCTACTGCTATACCTACATCTCCTACCCCACAGGTTAGCACGCCATGGCATCCTGAGGGCCAGGAGTTGCCTATTGCGAGGAGCGGAAGAGGTGGAGCAGGTAATTTTGTATGGAAGAGCGAAGAAGTGGGAAAGAAAGAAAGAGAGGTCGAAGACGCTACCAAAGAGGGATTGCGCGAGCAGGCAGAAAGGAGTGTTGAAGCAGAATTGGCTAAGCCACCTGGTGCACTGCTTGGGAAGAAGACCGAGAAGGGCTGGTAATGGGTCCAGGCACCAGAACTTGACGCAGAGCGCATCGCGTAGTGAGACAGCACTTACATGAATAGTTTGTCCAGCTCCCCTTCAATAAGAAAGCATTCAACTCTGAGACGCTCTTTGCGCTTGATCCCAACGACGAAGGCTGCACACATCTGACATCTGCAGTTGCAACTAACAACCTGCGAATAAAAGCCATCACATCCGAAATTCACACCACAGAGTACTGTCCATTTCCCTCACCTCTCGAATGTGACTAAACTGGACCAAGAAAGCCACATCATGACGTCGTGTCCTATTATGGAAAACACGGTCCGTGCACTTTGTTTATCCACGCCCTAGCCGATTTACTCCCACATCCCGTATCCCGTCTCTCCCCACCCACAGACCATCTTTGTTCTCCACCCTCAACTCCCTTGTTCATTCAAGCTTCGCAATTGCTTGAACACTCGGCGCAACATGGCGCGTCGCTCTGCTCGTCTTTTGAAGGTATGCATCTCTATCCTGATGTTGCCCCTAGGCTGTTTGTTTACATCTGCTGACCTGTTCTCCTTCCATAGCGCGAGGCCACGCCTGATGGCTCAACAAAGCCCAACGACAGCCGGCAAAACGCGTCCCCTGCAGACCTAGGACTTCCAGATCTCCCCGAGCTCCCAGAACCATGCACGAAGACCCCGTCGCAGTCAAAGCCCTCTGAGGGCGTCCAGCCTACATCGCAGCCGCCGCAAGTACCAGCTATGGCTACCCCTACGCCCCATAAGAATAGCTCAACCAAGCTGCCCGTTGCAGCTACAGAGATTCACACGCCCAAGGACCGTACCACTATCAAGCCTGCAGGTCAGGAAATGCACCCGGCGCATCATCATGCAAGCACGGCCAAGGTTTTGGATGAGGCGCGTTGGCTAGGGTTCCAGTCGCTGGGCGCGCACACTGCACCACCAAAAGCAGCTGGTCTGGCCGCAGGCCAGGCTACTCCTTCCAAAACTCCTGTACCCACCACTACAGGCTTGACCTCAAACATCGAGTCTTCGCCGGATTTCCGCTTTCGGTTCAAGTCTCCCGTGCTCGAGGGCCCCAAACCAGACGAAGCCGGATTGAGCCCAAGCTCGCGCAACATCTTGAAGAGTGCCGGTATCACAGGTACCCCTGGTGCCGGTAGTCGTGCCTTGTTTGGTATGTGATAATATAGATTTGTGCATACCTTTCATTCTAACCACTTGACAGGTACTAGCGAGTGGTCTTCCAAAGCCGATGTGTCACCCCAACGCAAAAAGGCAGAAGCCAAGGGCAAACTGGCCCGCTTCAGCGATGTGCATATGAAGCAGTTCAAGAATATGGACTCGATCGCCAACCACCCTTCTGCATTCCGTGCCGATCCATCTCGCTTCAAGCCTATTATTGGCCAGCCGCTTAAGAAATCGCCTTCAAAGCCTGACCTTGCGAAGCCTGAGACAAACAGACTCAAGCGCACACAGTCCAAGATTGATATTGCAGAATCGAGCGCAACTCCCAATAGTATTTTGAAACGCACGCAGTCCAAGTCGACCATGACAGGTTCTGGAAGCAACGTTCCGCCAACGCCATTGAAACGCACACTGTCCAAGTCGGATCTTGCCGGACCCAGCGTGCCACGTTCTGAGCCTGCGCGTCGCATGGCGCCCCCAAACCGCGACGGTCGTCCCGCCTCACGAGATGGCGAAAGCAGTCGTAACCCAACATCAAAGCGTGTCAAGCGGACCGAGTCTGACGATGCTGCGACTACCCGTCCCGAATCTCACGAGAAGAACCCTGAAGATTCTACGCCTGCGATTGCAACTCCAGCGCGCAGGATCACGTCTCAAACTGCGCTTCCCCGTCTGGCCGCCCGTCTGATGACGCCCACAAGGTCGTCGGCCGCCCGTTCTCAAAGCGTCAAGACCCTGAAGACCACCTCGATGATTTCGACCTTTGGCAAACCACCTTCTACAGTCAAAATAGCAAAGTCAGCATCTACAGATCAGGCATCATCTCCATCCAGTAAGCTTAGTCAGATACGGGCTGTGAGGGATGGTGCAAGAGAGGGTCTGCGCAAGGCATGTAGCCATGCTGAATATCATCAGAATCTTACTGACATTGTATAGGCAAGTCACAACCTTCAGCTTGTTCGCTCCATCCTTCGTACTCCCAACCGCAAGTACTCGAATGACCCCAGCAAGATCGCAGCAGGCACACACTTGTCTCCCCCTGTGTCTTCGAACTTGGACAATGCCCTAACCGCAGTTCCAGCCACGGCTCCTGTGAAGAAGCACGTCAATTTCTCTAGTAGTACTCTGGAGCGGGCTTCGCACGAAGAATTGGGCAAGTCGCCGTCGCCAATGAAGTTTGGCGCAGGCAGTGAGGTCCCCACCGGTGCCGTGATATATCCCAACTTGAGCTCTGTCATCAACAATCTGGAGCGGTCCCAAGAAACCGAAACCTTGAAAGGCTCGCCATCACGACGTCTCGTATTCGGTGGCGAGGCCCCCAACCACCCACGCTCTTTTTCATTTGAGTCTGGGAAGGCTGTCAACTTTGGTACGTATGATTGATCTGAGTTAATTGTATCACTTTTGCTGATATTCTTCCAGGCCCTGCATCAGCCGGTACGGTCCGCATGGTCCGCAACAGTGACACTCCATCGCGTGCCGAGGGCAGCAAGCGCAAGCTAGAAACTCTGCAAGAGAACTCTGATAAGGAAAACGATGGCCCTGTCGAGGAGGAGGAGACGCGCTCATCCAAGAAAGTCAAGCATACTTCTGGACCGACTCCAAAGACTCCTGCCCGCACCAACAAGCTGCCACGTCAGACCCCAGGAAGCCGATCTACTACTATCAGCAAATCGAGGCTGGATTTCCTAGCCACACCCAAGCGGAGCAAGGTCTAACCATGAACTCTCTTGGACGCCACTTGTTTGCCTTTCCAACTTTGCTGCTTCTTGGCGTTCTGCATGTCGATGCAACCCACCAATACGACTTATGACACTTTCCTAATTTCACGAAATGGGCGTCTTTTTACATGTCACTGGGGCTGGGCGTAATAATCGGTGCTTTTGCGTAGGATATGAGCAGTCCAGATCTGTTCTTCGGTTTATAGCATCTCATGTGTCCGATGGGCATTGCATACAGCGAAATCGGTCTCGGTGTTCAAGCTTAGCTTATGTAACATATACTGAATTGAAAATGCGTGTTCATATCAAATGTATCCAATTGCAATGGCTCTGCTTTCTTTTGTTGACGTCGTTCCACATCACGTGTAGAATTGCTGGTGGTGTTGACTAAGCCGTATGCCAGGTCTCGTGCGCAGCCTAGTCGGACCTTTTCCTAGTGCGACGTCACTTCGCTAATACGTTTGGCCGATCGACGCAGACGAGCGGTTCGACCGCTCATAGAAGCCCCCACTGCACACACAAGGACTTTCCCAACTACTTACTACGTCATTTGAGTACGCGCGGACACATTACGCCTTGCTAACTAGCAGGGCGCCTCACTCGACCACCGTGGCGTCGCTGAACACCCTAGTCGACGAATTGAAGAAGTCCTTCAATTTCTTCAACAGCAGCTCTTTACTAGGCGACAACGCAGCTTCTTCAGACAATACCGAGCATCAGTCTACAGACGCGCTATCAAAGGCTATCCGCTTCCTGCAGAATCGTGGTCTGAGCGATATCACCGAGATCGTCACGAACCCTCGCTTTGACGATCCGACCTACCTTGTCACAGTTGCTATTGCACTGGCCTCCATTATTGTGGGCATGTCTTGGTTCTCACGCGCTGGCGGCAGCTGGGGAGGGCGCTTTTCGCCATTTGGCCGCCCTGGTAACTCGCCCAACGCTGGCGTCGTAAACGACTCCGATTTCTCGTACATCACAAACGAAGACTTGCGTCGTAATGGACAGGCATCAACACCTGAAATTGTAGACTGGGATGACAAGAACCCTGAGCGAGAAACAGATGTGCTCATCTTCAAGCATGGCCGAACCCACTATCCTACACATTTCCCAGCGCACAGCATACGTGATGGAGACCTCAAGATCGGTACGGTACGACAGGCCGCGGCGAAGAAGTTGGGCGTCGATGACTACCGAAAAATACGCATGTTCTATAAGGGCAGGAATTTGAAGTATGATGAGCGGACTGGACGGGAGGAAGGGCTACGTGGCGATGGCAGTGGTAGTGAGATTCTAGTCACAGTAGGCGAGGCACCTATCGGCGGTCATGGGGCTGCCTCAGAAGAGGTACCACCACGCGCCTGGAGCGAGGGCGAAGAGGACGATGACGATGATGACGACTCCGGCGTAAATACATCCGGCAAAAAGAAGTCTCGCAAGCGCGGCGGCAGAAAGAGCAAGAAGAAAGGTGTCTCCTCGGGTAACGCATCCGGAACTTCGACACCTGGCTACACCACCGCCGGAGCTGGCGCGGAATACCTCCCCATCCCTTCCCACATCAACGCCGCACCCCGCCCTACCTCTGCGCCGCCCCAAAACATCTCCAAGCCCGCTCAACCTCAGACCCCTATGGGCAAGCTCGACGCCGTCGCCAGCAAATTTCATACTGAGCTAGTCCCACTGTGCATACAGTTCATGTCGAACCCGCCCGAAGACAAGGCAAAAAAGACGTTTGAATACAAGAAGCTGAGCGAAACCATCCTCACGCAAATCATTTTCAAGCTCGATGGCGTGGATACCGAGGGTGATCCCGATGCGAGGGTTAAGAGGAAGGCGCTTGTCAAGGAGGTGCAGGCTATGATGGGCAAGTTGGATGAGGTAGGGAAGGAGTAATGTAGTTTTTTGTGTGCTAGAGTGGGGGAGTTTTTTTTTAGAGAATGCGATTAGTTTAGATGAATGTAATATGTTCTTTTTTTTCTTTTTAATGGGTATGATGATTGTGGTGTGAGAGAGCTCGAAAGAGAAAAGAGATTCTACACCAGTTTTTGCAAGGTTTTTTGGACGACAAGGTCTTTCTTCCTTGTCTTCTTTTCTTTTCTTTTCTTTTTTTTGTGCTCACCTATTTAAATCGGGTTCCTCGCCTTGTGTAAGAAAAGGTTCAAGTACGCGCGAACTACCCTTTTTTTTTCTTGTCTTTTGCAAATTCCTACTCTTTGCCTTTTTTTTTAATATAAATGTTCAACCGTGACCTGCCGAACAATTATGTCATAAACCATATGACATGGGGTTGTTACTTGGTATCTTGGAGAGTCTGCAACTAAAAAAAAATGATTCGAAGTTTATGCAGTATTTGTGTGTATTCAGGTATGATTGAGAAGATGAGCTAGGGATAGGACGGGAATGCAGCTATTGAGACTGTGTCGTGATAACAATCGAAGCTTCTTTTTTGGTATTATGACAGCGTTTTCTTCTACCTATAAAATCTCGTGTCGTCTTCGGTAGGTGGGTCGGTATGGAAGTTGCTGGACTGGTACGTTAGGTGGGGTGGATTAGCTGAAGAAAGGGAGTCTCATCAATAACCTAAGGTTTGAACAAAGTGCTCTGGGTTCAAGTCTAAAATGACGAAATGTGGTTTGGTATGTAACCTGTTCCCTATATATTGATGTGGGGATGATAGATACGCAGAAATAAGCGCCTGGATTAATTGATTTGTACACTGATATTTGTGATCTGTACATATGGAAATTTAAGACAAGTAAAGTGTATTGTCTATAATACTACTATAAAAGGCATGGTATTATCACGGCGCTGTTTAGGTAAGAATCTTTTTTTACTATAGTGTGCCAATGTCTTTATTTTTCAAATTTTCTTGAATCTAGTACCATATTACGTTTCGTGATTCAAAGCCCAAATAATAAATGTTTTTAGATAGGAACGTTATATCCTTCATTTTTCATCTTCTTGACTTTCAAATTCCCAGTCCATGAATAAAGGACACAACAGCCTTGTTAGCACCAATTGCTGGACGTCTCATTATTTTGATTTATGTCGTCTCCAAATCCATGCTTACTTTAAACGTCGTCGCAGTACGTCCGAAAATGCTTCTGGCTTCACGGAGGGGTATTTGGCGTTGTCTATATTGTCACCAAGGGAAATCTTTCCAGTTAATGTGAAGTATTGACTAGCACTGTATAATAGTCGCTTTATTAACTTGAACTTTAGGTGGGCGGTGGTGTTACAACTTACGAGAGGGTTTGCTCTATGTTACCAGCGCCATCCAACCGCTTCTCAAGGACGGTCAAAGGTCCTTTGGATTTGAGGACTTGCTTGCAGCCGGTCACTAATTCCACGTCATTGGCGATTTCCACTATACTTTTATGATCTCCTCGAACTAATTGCAATTGTAAGTATTATGAGTCAACGCACCAGTGGGGAGGGGTGCTACAGTTGAAGAAGCCAGATGCATTCGGGTCAAGAGCCATAGCAGCAACATATTCTGCTGCTGTCCAATACGAGGTGAGGTCCCATTTCTCATTACCAGTTCCCCAATACCTAAGCTCGTTCGCTTCCGGGTACCAGACTTCGAAAATGTCAAGAAATGTCTCGATGAGAAGACTAATCAGGATATGCACACCTTTGACAGAAGGTTTTGTGCCCAAGTATGCTACAATATCGTTTGTAAAGTTTTTAATCCCCAAGTCGGTCGGATCGAGCTTGCGGTAATCTGCAGTGTAGTCACTGGCGATGTAACGCGGTATACCCTCTTTTTCACAAAGATCAATTAAACTTTTCTGTGTCTCGAGCATGACTTCATTGCTCGAGAAGTAGCAGCATATTACCACACTGCAACCGCGCACCAAGGTGCGCAACGTCTCAGTGTCGTATGGGTCGCTCTGTACCAATGAAATGCGAGAATTGGATTTCAGATCATCCGGGATCTTGTTTATGTTACGTGAAGAGCCGCGAATGTGGACATCAGGTTGTTGGAGAAGTGATTTCGCGATGAGAAGAGCAAGAGTGCTGCTGATGCCAGCGATTGCGATAGTAGTTGGCATTTTCGGGATGTGCAGGTTCAAGACGGGAACTAGACTGACTGAAATTAGATAAAACCTCTAACTAAGGTGCATGCTGTGCCATAATATAAATCTTCAAGCCTACTAGCCGTAACTAGCCCGGGTCTTCTAGTAGCCGAATGCCGTATCGGATTTGATCAGGACATCATTGACTAGCTTCAAAACTCATTCCGCTTACCAATCCACTGCTCATTTGACTCTTCAGTTAGTTACTGCTTCGAAATCAAGTATTGTAGAGGTATATAATGCTTGACACTGGATTGACCAAATTGGTTTACCGTTACCGCTCTATGGACTCGCATCCAATCTGTGGAAAGTGCAGTTCTCTACATATGGAGAAGTCACTGTCCATGTAACGGTACCTCTCGGATATAGATTAGCGTGGAAAGTACAGGGTAGCAGGGGTATTTTTTCCCAACCAAGGGTGATGCAGCATTTCAAGAACAATCGGTTGATATGCCTTCGTAGATTACAATACGCGCTCTATATTCTTCACTACACTATATAAAGACTAGCAAAGGGTATTATCAAGTATCTAAGCATGAAAATTGGCTAAGGAGCACCCTTGGTTGTGAAAATATACCCCTGCTACCGTCTACATAGGCCAGATCTATAGCAGATATAAACAACAAATCTTATATCACAACACAAATAGTCCCGAGATAACGTATGCTGATAACCTGATATTATGTAGAGTATTCCCACTATGATTGGTGACGAGAAAGAAATCTATCATGATAGAAAGCTCGTTCTCTGTTCTTGAACAAAAAGATGACTAGTACTAAAGCTTCCCTAACAGTGCTCCTGGGCGAGATAATGAGGTGAATCCATCGGAATAATAATGTAAAGCTCAAGGATGGATGATAACTAGTTAACCTCTACTGTTGTATCTTTATATGGGGTTTTTTTTTCTGAAGATTTTTCCTTTCCTATACTAGTCACATGTGAATGCTTAGCATTCTATCCCTACTACCATCGGCTCCCCAAAAGGTTAACTGCCTGGCGTTAGCCCTAACCCGATATCGAGAAATAAATAAAAAATTTGGTACTCCCTTCCTGCCCTTCCTGCCCATCATGCCCATATAAAATAGATCACGCAATTAGTCTACCGATACAATCTAAAACCAATGCAGTAAGGTAAACATACTACACCGCTCCCTTTCAAAGCGCGCGCGCATTAGCAGTACTCTAACGAGCTCGCAATCCACGCAAAAGCGGCCTTATTACTAGCTTCTAGGCCCCGAGTAACCAGAATACCTTTCAAAAAGTCACCTAGTGTCGGCGGTGTTTCCCTAGCCAAAAAATTCGTCATAACTCGTGTGTTGCCCCTCATTGAACCCCACTTTGCCAGCATTAAACAGCGCGCCTTGATCCTCATAAAAACGTGCCCTCTACGTTTAAGAAAGAAGAGACATCTGAACTTTTTCTTTCACTGTTTTCAAGGACTATCCAGGAACTTACACATTTGGTTTTTCTCAACCGTAAATATGTCGCAGCAATCTGATATAACGCTTTATACGACGCAGACGCCGAATGGCATCAAGATCTCCATTACTTTGGAGGAGCTGGGGTGAGTGTGTTTTGTGCTTTACGAATACGTTTCAATAGTCTTCGCCTTTTTGTTATTTCGCGTCATCTGAATCGGTTCTGTTCTATTTTCCTTTGTTGTCATATGAGCATTTCTCTCTCTCTCTCTCTCTTTTTGATTGTATACATTCACGAACAGGACAGTTGGCATCGTGTCACTTCATCTCGAGAACAGAAACGAGGTATCAAGAATCTCGTGATGAGTAGTGAGATGTAATTGCGACCTGCTCTGATCCTTACACGATGTCGACATATCGTTTTCAAAATATCCCTTCACCTTTTCACCTTTTCCTACGTTCAGTCTCAACCTCGAGGTGCAGAAAATGGCATCATCATCATCATCACACATATGTTCTATGATCTTCATAGTCTTGAAGATAGAGAGAGCAACCCATATTCAAGGCCACATCACATACCACTCAAGGGGAAAGATCAACATAACTAAACCTCCACCCAGCCTCCCCTACAAAGTCCACAAGATCGAAATATCCAAGAACACTCAAAAGGAAGACTGGGTAAGTTCCCCCACCCCACCCAAAAATAAATAAATATCATTCCAACCAAACAACCATACAACAGTTCCTCGCCATCAACCCCAATGGCCGCATCCCCGCACTAACCGACACCTTCACCGACGGCAAACCCATCAACCTCTTCGAATCCGGTAGCATCATGCAATACCTCATCGAGCGCTACGACACAGAGTACAAGATTAGTTTCCCCAAGGGAACGCGCGAGTGGTACGAAATGAACAATTGGTTGTTTTTCCAAAATGCTGGTGTAGGACCTATGCAGGGTCAGGCTAGTAAGTCTTTTCCTTCTTTCTTTCTTTCTCTCTCTCTCTTTTTTTTGTTGTTGTTATTGTTGAGATGTTTGGGTTTCATGTGATTATCAAGATCTTTGTAAGAGAGGGGGTGTGTGTGCCAACGACCAGGCCTGAAGCAAGATAGTAGTAGGGCTTGGCAAAAGGGGGGGGGGAGAGCGTCGTTTTCTGTTCAATGATCCCTGGAGCAACATGATGTGCGCGGCGGTTGCGCGTCAGGCGGATTGGGATTGATTGATTGAGTGACGGCGGGAGCCAGCCCAGCCCACCCACCCCTTCATCAATCAAATCAATCTTGCCTCGGGATGTGGGGGAGCGGCGCGGGCGGGGAAACTGCCAAACAGAGGCAAAGATCCTCGAGCCGCCTTGTGATCTACATTATTTGCTAAAAGAGTTTTGGAGGGGCTGTCAAGAGGGGCAGAAGAGCAAAAAGGCGCAACAAGAGAAAAAAAAAGAGGACCGGATCAAGGCTGACAGAAATCTCTTTGAACAGATCATTTCACGCGCTATGCTCCCGAGCATATCGAGGTAAGCAACACAGGTGGCTTTTGCTTCATGCCGTACGCATAAAAATAGGAAAAGAGTGCTGACACGATTGTGTGTTTCTCCATGGATTTAGTATGGTGTGAACAGGTACCAAACCGAGACACGCCGTCTCTACTCTGTCCTTGACAAGCATCTCGCTTCTGACAACAGGCCATACCTGTGCGGCACAAAGTGCACCATTGCCGGTGAGTAGCGTGTCAATTTTTCTGTTGCTTACCCAGTCCATGTATTCAAACATGGTCGCACCCTGCATTCTCCCCTCCTTTCTCTTCTGCCAACGCATAGCCGTTTTGCTGCTCCTGTCTCCCCATCATCGATCATTCGATGGTGGTTGGAAGAAAAAAATGAAACCGGTTTGTTGCAAAACCTTATGTATGCGGCGGATGGGGCTCTCCCGCAGCCCACCGAAATGCAATCAGCCGGCAATTCCCTTCCCCGTCCATCCCGGGATTATTTTCACATCCATTACTCGTTCCCAAGGCACACACACACAGTCCCTCTCACCTAATTCCTCATCTCCTGTCATCTAACCAAACTTTAGACATTGCTCACTATGGATGGGGAGCGGCTGCCGGCTGGGCAGGCGTCGACCTGGACAGGTTCCCTGCGGTTCAGGCCTGGCTGGACCGAATGGAAGCACGTGAGGGGGTGGAGAAAGGCCGCCACGTCCCCGATCCTCACACTATGAGGGAGTTGCTCAAGGACAAGGCCAAGATAGCGGAGCAGGCTGCTAAGAGTCGAGCGTGGGTCCAGGCCGGCATGAAGGAAGACGCCGAGCAGCAAAAGTAGGGTAGGTTGCGCGTAGACTTCGTCCGCAGCTGATAGCAGTTGCTCTAAGAACAAGCATTCTTAATTGTATGTATACAAGATGTGGAGATGCTGTTCTTAGTAGCGTCAAGTCTCCGGTTGAGTGCAGCCGACATGATAATACCCCGGATCTGGGGATTTCTACAGCTTGCTAGTGCCCTTCGTATTGAGATGTGTGTGTGTGTGTGTGTGGGTGTTGTGTGACATTCATTCGCAAATACGAATGCGAGCCCTGAAACTCTCCCTTTTTGTCAGTCAGCGCCCAAGAAAGAGACGGAGATCATGAAGATAATGATGAGAAGAATAAAAAAGGACAAGGAGGAAGAAAAAAACCGTCATGTGCCGTGGCATCGTGAGTCACGCAGACCTTCTCTCGGTCAACCAAGTCCCAGGCTTCGGGAAGATTGTCTCGGCTGATCGGGGACCTGGGGAGCTACTACTCGTAGATAGGTATGCTTCTAGAGTCGGTAAAGTCCTGTTTGCAGAATTCTAGATCGGATTCAGAAACAAGGGTATTCCGATGTGGGCAGGGCAGGGCGATCCGATCTAGTCTATGGTGATCGTGAAACTCCTTGCACCCTCTTGGCAGGGTATATACGGACGAACATATTTGATAGATGGATGTTTCATGCTGTCGCTACGCCATGAGAGTGGCTGGCGAGAGACGTGGACTAGTCTGGGCTGGGCATAAGCCGCGAAATTGTGCTAGGGGCGTGACTTGTGTGAATGGAGAAAAGGAAGCGACACCGGTAGTGGTGAACCTCGGAATGTACTTGCCATATTGTAGCGTTGCGTAATTCATTGCATGTCAGGGGTAAGGTTAGTAGGTACCCTTGGTACTGGATGAGCTCGCCACGCTCAGATTATGCAGCAGGGATGGACAGCCAAAGATATCACGCTATGTCGGCACGATGCTAGCTCCCAGCCAGAGCCAGCTGTGCAAACAGCAGCAGTCAAAGTAGCGCCGCGAACCATGGCGTGTACTGCCGCAGACGCACCGATTGTTGACATTCGCGTTACGCCTCATTTGTATGAAACGGGTTGAGGGGTGGCGACAAGCGTTGGGGTGCGTTGGGGGAACAGGGTCGCCAAGATGGACAGACGGATGCTTGTGTGCACCATGCGGGCGGGCTTGCAACATCCCGAAACTTACATTAGACTCTTTGGGCGACGGGGGGTCAGTCGGTCGGAACCGCAGTGGTTAACTTGCCTTGTAACGGGAAAAACAAAGGACAATCGGGGTCTCGTGGGATGGGGCCGGCGAAGAGTCACCAAGGGCATCCAACGAATTTGACAACAGAGAGAGAGGAGAGGAGAAGACGGTGTGTTTTAGTCCAGGGACGCTCAGAGCACCTGCATCATCATCCATATTGGGCCATGCACCTCATCAGCAGGGCAGGCACGCAGGCTAGGGCTGTGTCGAGTCGCAACTGCCAGACCAGACCAGACCAGACCAGAGTGTGAGTGCCAGTGCCAGTGCCTTCTTTGCCCCACCCACTCCCGTTCATCAAACAATCTCATGTCCATGTCTGTCCGTTGTCAAGCTGGCGTCAACACCTGTCTTGTGTCTGTCAGTCAGCATGCACACCCACCCACCCACCATCATCATCACCACCACCACCAGCTGCTACTACTGCAGCTGTCGACAGCTCCTACCCCAGGTCAATACTCGCCCCCGCATTAATAGTCGATGATGCATGATCGCGCGAGCCGCTCATGCGACGCGGCGGTAGCAACAGGTCACGATTCGCTGGTTGGGCTCCCGCCTAACCCTCGACGGCGGGACTGGGGGGAGGATCTTGGTTTCCCAGCCGTGAGGGTGTGGAGCCGTAGCAATTGGACTACGGCTATTTTGCAATGGCACAGCCGCTGCGGTACGCGGCGCCCACCCCACCAATCGTTCCTGTTACTGCATCAGCCTCGATGGCGACGGTTAATATTACCCTACTAGCCAAATCAAAGTCAAATCAATTGAATGATGATGCAAAAGGATTGGCAGACAGGGCACATAGGGCTCTCGCCAGTGCCAGCGTGGTTCTGTAGCACGGGCACCATCCACTGATCCGAAATCCGACGCTGACACTGACGCTTGCCCCTCATCCCAAGATCTTGGGGCACCTTCGTGTTCCCGGGTTTCACTGGTGGGAGAATCTGGGGTGCATGGAAAAAAAGTAACACACACAAAGGGCGGGCAGAACGCGACGCCGTCTCACCAGTCATGTTATGCCGGAGGATTGCATTGTACTGCTACCCTGCTGCCCTGCGGCCATGTACCGAGGTGTGGCTCAAGTCCTTTTGTATCGCTGATGATCAAGTGGCTTATGGTTGGACCCTTAATATACGGGACTTGTATGTGTACCTAGGCACGTTGATGTAGCGCGTGGCAAGGGCCTGTCAAAAATCAAATTGGACACAGCCATCTTCTTCACAAAAGACTGCGAACATGTGCTTTGGCGTCACTGTAGGTAGGGCGCAGTGCATGGCAGCAGCCTTGTGGGGGCGCCTAGGCGATGAGCGGTCAGGTAATCTACAGGGAGCGCGTGGGTCGTCTTCTGGCTTGCAACCAATACAGCAGGTCGATGAAAAAAGCTGTGTGAGCTGTGTGGCCAGATTGCCATGGGTTGATGGCCTCTTTTGCGCTGGCTGCAGTGGCCCAGCGTGCAATCTGAAGTGGAGTGGGCAGCGTTGAGGAGAGTTCAAGTCGTGGTGTGATTTGCTCGAGACGTTGTCGCTTACATGCAGGAGCCCGGCGAGGGTCACACTGTTCAGACCCAAGTGTGGAGGTACGGCCGTTGTGGATCCCGTCCTGGCCGTGTGTGGCCTGGTGCCAAAGCGGGAGGTGGGCGTGTTGGGCAGTTGTCCATTCGGAGTCTTTCAGAAAGAAGCAATTTCAACGTCTATCGGCCAGGCAGGCAGGACTGCGTGCACAAGCTCGTTCAACGGGCCGGCGATTGCACTCTCATCTCCATGCACGAGATTGCATGGACAGAAATTGCGGCGATCACAGCACGGCGGAGCTCGACAATGACATGTCTCTGCTTCGGCGAGCGGTCTCGTCTTGGTACAGAGGTACTCGCAGGCGGGCGCTAGCAGGTGGCTGAAACAGCAGGCTACAGAGAAATGTGGTGGAAATGCAGCAAATGGAGAAATGAGACGACTGCAAGATTAATACGGACGAGTTATGTGAAGGAAGGGGTTGGGTGTGATTTGTATGGGATGCGTGGATGAGAGAGTGTACCTGGGACACAAAGGGCGAGAAAAGCCAGGCTGTCCCCTCCCCCGTGGGAAGTAATAAGCGGACCCGCCGGTGGCATGCTGTCGTGCAGATCCACTGTGGTCCACTTATGTGTACTGGGGGCGTGTGCAGAGTGGACGGCCATCAGCTGGACCGTTCACCTTTGCATCTGGAAGGGGTGGGCAGGGCCGTGGGCAGGTTTGATAATAATACGACCAATGTGTGGTGTTCCACATTTGGACGGAGGAAATGGTGACGTTGGCCGAAGAGGATATGTCGGAGTCGGGGTTGCAGGCATGGTGGGCTCGCTTAGCTTGCCAGAAACGCCGCCCGAGCCCCTCGGCGTGTGCTTGTGCGCGGTGGTGCAGGGCGGGAGCATCAGCGGCGGTGGCACTGGACAATGAGCGCGCAGCACGGCATGACCAGGACCCGACAGCGTGAATAAGGGTACTTGGTACATGGTCGACAGGCTTGACCCAGCGCAACAGGCGGACAGTGTGCAGTGTGCGGTAGTCGAGGTTAGTGAGCACAAGCAGGCCGGAAACCACGTCGCAGGCTAGGCCGAGCCATGTGGATACGGCGAGGACTCAAGCATGCTCGTGAGTTCGAGGCCTTTGCCGGGGGTGGCTTGGCGGGCGGGTGCGCAAAGGCAACGCCGGCCACGAGGAGTTCGCCGTCGGCATTGGGTTTCATGTGGCAGGGCGGCGTGCATGTTTTGACGTTGTGACGTGTGACGGTGGGCGCGGGGGGGCGTGACGGAGCAACAACAGGAGCATGATTATTATTGTTATTATTTAGCAGTAGCAGTAGTGGGTATGAAACGACAGGGCGAGGGCGTTTCAGCAGTCGGGCACAGGAGCAGAAACAAGACGAGAAAGGAAGCAGTGTAGTAGCATGTACATGGGATGGTCGAGCAGCAGCGGGCAGCGGAGCGTGTGCATGTGGTATTGGCCGAGGCGAGGCGTGGCGGTGGGGAGAGAGCGGCATGCCATGTACCTAGGTACTCTAGACTACTTACTTACTCACTCGTACTTACCATATATACAATGGCTCCGACGCAAGAGGCAGAGGGAGAAAGAGAAAAAGAGAGACAGGCAGACTCGGCCCCGCGGGAGCGTTTGTCATGGTCAGGCGCGACAAGCCACAACCTGGAGAAGGCCGCAGGAACAGGCAGCAGGGATGGGCGGCAAAGCTGACGTGCGGTGAGTCGTCGTCGACGTCGAGCGAGGAAGCAGCAACCAGCGAGCAGAATGGACAAAGGGAGGCGCTAGGCGTGAACTGTCTGGCGTCTACTCGAGTACCTAGCGTCAATGTGTGAGAGTGAGTTTGAGTGAGAGTGAGTGCAAGTGCGAGTGTGCCATGGACATGGGCATGGGGCATGAACAGGGACATGGGTGCGGGCAGATGGGTGGGGCAGCCTGGAATAGCAGTACTATGTACATGTCTATGTACACGCCAGCAGTGATACCTACTTACCGTAGGCGCACGCACACACAGAGAGAGAGAGAGGTCCGCAGTAGTCTGCCAGTGTGCGTGCCTGCTAGTCTGCTGTTAGTCGGGTGCGTCGTCGTCGTCGTCGGTGGTGGTGGTGCAGCCCCGCTTTTTGCCCTCGACTGTGAGGGTGAGCAACCACCGGCTAATGTCGTTTTACCCGTTCCAATGGCGCCCTCTTGCGCCGCCAACGGTCCCCCTGCCAGCCGTGTCGTGATGCCTGCCACGAGCTGCCCCAGAGCCTGGTTGCCGTAGCCAATGGGCCGCCCCTCGTACATCCATGCATGGGTGTTGGAATTAAACATTCCGTCCTCTGATATTGCTACACACCAGACTTCGCTTCTCGAAGCCCGCGTGGACGCATGGAATCTTCAAGCCACAGATCGTCACACTGACCCTGCAAAACCGTCGCTGCATCCCTCGTCCTGGCCCGCCTGTCTCCTCGGCACCTGGTTAGCACCACTATACCTTTGTCCCAGGCCCACATATGCTCCCCAAGTATCCCATGACCCGCGCTTGTCCCCAGATTTACCGCTGCCGATTCCTTCCTCCTCGACTGTTCATCCCCGACGTCACTCCCGTTTTGCTTCTCTCCTAACTGTCTCTCGCCTCTTCGTCGAGGCCGCCACCATCACTCTGCCTCAGTACGTCCGCCTCCGTGCCCTTGCCGCCTTGACCTCTTCCAATTGCTCACCATCCCTTCTAGCACCAAACAAAAAAGGCTCTCACTTGGACTCACGTCTCTCAACTTGACCAACCTTCAACAGACATGGAGTCCACAACAGCACCACCACCACAGGACGCGGCAAAGATTGAGCGAAGAGGCTCAGCACCAGTCAAACGCAGAGTAAGCCGCGCATGCGATCATTGCCACCGCATGCGCACACGGTGTAACGGTCAGGCACCATGCTCGCGCTGCATAGAACTTGAATATGTTTGCCAGTACAACCGTGAAAAGAAACGCAGAGGAAAAGTAAGCATAACCACACCCCCACGCTCACCCAACCCCATCCATGCATCCCCAAAACTCACCTTGCCTAGGTCCCGCGACACATCCAGAAGCAAAGAGAAGAAGCTGCTGCCGGTGGCGGCGGCGGTAGCCCACAGACGCCAAATGGAATCAACGGTTACTTTGAGAGGCCCAACGTCATGAACGAAATGGAAGAGGATGTATGGTCGCAATCAGAAGCAACGCCCGTCGTACAGCATTTCCCATCGACCAAGACCGGCTTACCCACAGGTGACTGGCAGGCTTTGAACTCTGGCGCCGCTTTTGACCCTCCTGTCAACCACATGATGATCGACCCTTTGCTCCTTGGATCAGGTGCCGCCTACCCCCCAATGCACGCCGAGATGCCGCGCGAGGAGCTCATGTATGCCATGAATGGTACGTTGAACGACCAAGCCTCGAGTACTGTGCACATGCATGCAAAGTACTCTGCATTGGCTTGGATTTGCTGACAGGTAGCAGGCATCCACCTCATACCCGGCTCCAATGGCACTCCAGTATCCATCCCCACTGAATACGCAAACATGGCCTACCACATGCACTACCAACAAGCCGCACGACAGTCCTCACCTCACAGCTATGGCTCCGCAGACACTGGATCGCCACAGTCAGGCGTTAGCGCAAACTCATCACAGCACAGTGGCCCCATGCTTTCTTGCAGATACCCTGTTTTGAAGCCGCTGCTACCACATCTTGGTAGCATCATGAACATCCCCACCGCCTGCGATCTTCTCGAATTCTACTTTCAGAGCTCTTCGTCCGTCTTCATGGAGCCCGTCTCACCATACATTCTTGGATCCGTCTTTAGGAAACGGAGCTTTTTGCGTCAACATAACCCGAGGCGATGCAGTCCAGCCCTGTTAGCCAGTATGCTCTGGGTTGCAGCTCAAACCAGCGAGGCCAGTTATCTCACCTCATCACCTTCAGCAAGAGCCATCATTAGCCAAAAACTGTGGAAATTGACCGTCGAACTATTGAAACCCCTGGTCCATTCTCCATCCTCGCACGGCTTCACCCCTGGACCTGGCGTTACCTCTGCTGCTCACGACGCTTTTGGCGTGGATCGGGTAATAGGGAGGTACGACGGAAGAGCAGACGGAGCATTGCCACCAACCAGCACGCTAGACGACGTTGCTACATATATCAACCTTGGGGTGGTTACTTCAGCAAGCGAGTACAAGGCGGCTTCTTTGAGGTGGTGGAACGCGGCATGGTCGCTAGCTAGGGAGCTAAAGCTGGGCCGAGAACTGTCTCAAAAGCCGCCCAAAGAACACGAAGGAAACGCGACTGATGGAGAAGTTGATGTTGGCGTAACTGACGGTACCGGTACTCAAGCGCCTGCAGGTACCCCAGCTGCAGCCATCATCGAAGAAATGAAAGAGGAGAGGCGACGGTTGTGGTGGCTGCTCTACATGGTTGATCGACATCTTGGACTCTGCTATAACCGCCCGCTGGCCATGCTGGATAATGAGTGCGAGGATCTATTTCAACCAGTCCCCGACACTCTTTGGCAACAGGGTGAATTCTACACTGGACACGCAGGACCACGGAAGCGGGGACTCAATTTCCAGTGCACATCGTACGTATAAGTCCCTTACCCGAGACATTCCCGAGATCTCATTTCCCACGATTCGTCATTTGAGTAGTACTGACGTGATGCAGACACGATGTTTTTGGCTTCTTCTTGCCGCTGATGACAATCCTTGGCGACATTGTAGATTTGAATGCGCAAAAGAACCACCCAAGGTTCGGTCAGCGGTCATCTTGGGAACTTCATGAGGCTGAAATTACCCGCCAATTGGAGCGGTACGCGTACAGTATTGAGGAGTTCAAAGCGCAATACGGCTGCGGCCCGAATGAGGAAGCACAACCAAACACTACACCGGATCCGGTTCGAGCCGAATGGATTCACCAAACAAAAAAGGTTGCCGCATACGCCACACACATCATGCACGTGCTTCATATTCTGTTGCACGGCAAATGGGATCCAGTAGCGCTTTTGGAAGACGACAACATGTGGGTGTGCTCACCGTCTTTCCTCGCCGCGACTTCAAACGCCATCACAGCGGCCCATGCAGTCGATGTAATTCTGGATGTCGATCCCGACCTATCCTTTATGCCCTACCTGTTCGGCATGGTAAGTGAGACTCCGTGTTAATTTGATGGGATTTGGCAGTTTCAGACATGGCCAGCCCTAATCTTGTTACATTACTTTTGTAGAGAACCTGGCTAACCAATCAACAGTATCTGCTCCAAGGAAGCTTGATTCTGTTGCTCTTGGCCGACAAGCTGTCGACCGAGACCAACGAGAATGTGATCCGTGCCTGCGAAACAATTGTACGGGCGCACGAAGCCGCTGTGGTGACGCTCAACACAGAGTATCAGGTAAGCTGTTTGTGTGATTATTCGAATCTGCAGGGTACTGACTTCGCACAGCGTAACTTCCGGAAAGTTATGATATCCACATTGGCTCAAATCAAGGGCCATGGCCATGCGAGGGAGATGACACCAGCCAAACGGAGAGAGGTGCTCTCGCTATACCGATGGACCAGTTTAGGCAACGGTCTAGCAATTTAGATAGGTTTGGGTTGCATTAAACAAGTGAATTTTCGGCGTCAGGGAGCAAACTGGATGGATTCTGGTTTGGCTAAAACACTACTATTACCCAGGGATTTGTACGATTACGACTATTTGGGAGGAAACTGCGCGGGATTATGATGGCATGGAAAACTAAAAAAAGGCGCGCTTCGCTTCGTTACGACCCGACTTTTACACTCAAAACCTTTTGTTCCGTAATGTTTTTTTATTCTTTCTTCTCTCTCTCCCTTGAAGTGATTTAGGAGCAATGCAATCAAGCAAAACAAACGGGTACCGATGCCTCGTATTTTGACTTTTTTTTTCTCATCTCGATTACCTTTCTTGTACCACCCGTTGCTTGTGTCCACCAATCATAGTAAGCCAATGAGAGGGGAAAGAAGGAAGCGAAAACGCAGTGTTACGGCCGTTTTCCCCTAGATGTGCGCTGGGTGGGTTACATGGGGGTGCGGTGTCATGAATCAGGGTCTGAGACTAGCCAGCGAAGGGAGGACACTCAGAAAGATGCTCCTTTAGCGTCGTCGGTGCAGCTTCTGTATTGGGTCAAGGCGCCGACGTAGTGTCGACCAGAGGAGACAGTGTATTTTTTTAGTTCCCTAATGGACAGTGAGTGTGACATGGAAAGGCACCAATGGACACAATAGCCAGAAAAAGAAAAAAAGAAAGAATGGAAACTAGTGGTGAATTCCGGGGGACCGCTTCGGGGTCTAGTAGTAGCAGGTAAGACTGTTCTTTTTTTTCTCTCTATATCACGCAACTAGTTGTGTGACGCTAGTTGGCTGGGTTCCGGTGTATGTAGTGTGGTTGTATCTTCAAGTCAGCAGGAAAAGGGGATATGCAGGCATGCAGACATTCAGAGGGGAGATTTAACATGAACGTAACACCAGAAACACGAAACAAAACAAAACAAGGATATCTATTTTTCTTTTCTTCCTGAGAACAAGTAAATTATAAACTCTTCTCCACCTCCATAACCTCCTTGATTCCCTCAGCAACAGCATCAACCTTTTCTTGCGACAACCTCTTGAGGGGCTTGCGAGGGTAGCCACCGTAGCCGTAATATGACTGAATGGCCGACTTTGTGCCTGGGATGGCAGATTTGGTCAAGACCCAGTCGCCCTTGCTGAGCACTTTTTGCAGCTCAAAGGCCTCTTCGTACTTGCCTTCAGCCCAGAGATTCCACACCTTGACACACGTCTTGGGGATAACGTTTGCGCCGCCGGCAATGATGCCTGAGCCGCCGCTGGCAGCGGTTTGGGCGGTGAAGTCGGCCATGCCGCCAAAAGCCATGTAGCCGCCGCTGTTGGACTTTGCTGTGCAGGCGTTGGTGGCCAGAGCCACGCGTGTGAGCTTACCTGTGTTGCCGCAGGTGAACTTTGTGCCGACAATGTTGGGGTGCTTGGCGAGCTTGATGAGGAGATCGCTGTCCATGTCGATGCCGGCTACGGCGCCTGGGTAGTTGTAGAGCATAATGGGGATTGGGGAGCCGTCTGCTACTTTGGTAAAGTACTCGTAGATGGCGTCTTCGTCAATGGCGTAGCGGTAGTAGCTGGGGGGCAGAATGAGGGCATATTCGCCGCCAGCGGCCTCGGCCTCCTTGCACAGCTCAATGGTGAGCTGGATGCCATGCTCGGATGCGCCTACAATGACGGGCACGTTTTGGTAGCCAGCCTCGTCAAGAGCCTCACGTGTGGCTCGAGTGACTGCAGTCTTCTCGGCTCGCGATAGGTGCACGGCCTCTCCGTTTGATCCCATGGTGACCAGACCGACAAGGCCGGCCTCGGCAAGTCGTACTGCGTGCTTCTTGATAACTGGAATGTCTAGCTCCTCGGTTTCTGGGTTGAAAAAAGTCATGGTAGGCGAGTAGATGCCTGGTCGGAGAGGCGTGCGTTGCTTGGTGTGGCCATTGGTGCCGTTACCGTTGGATGCCATGATTGCTACAAGGGGGAGGCGCAAATCAAATCAGGATGCACGTAAACGGCAAGGAAGAAAAGAGAGGGATATGTATATATCTGTATATGTATATGTATATACGTATAGATAGCAATGGATGGATAGCAATACAAGATTTTGGATGAAGGAAAAAAACTAGCAGCCACCATGGCCGGGCACGGGTCTGGTCAGCTTTAATACTACAGCGAGATGGAGACAGTCGGTGCATTAGAGGCCAGAAGAGCTAGGTGCGGCAGAGCCTAATCGTGGTACCGTGGTCAATATCTCACTGATTGCGCGTCCTCGATTCGCCTGTGGCAGTGACAGCATCAGACTCCCGGGGGGGCAACGCGGTGGGCCATCTGACGGCTCTCGGGTTACATGAGCGCGAAGGGCGGGAACAGAATGCGGCCATTTGTATAGTAGTGACTAACACGGCGGCTGTCGGATGGAAACATGCTGCAGCGCAAGACAAGGTGGCATGCCAGACGCAGTCTCGCCGTCCCCCGACGTCTGCCCTGTAAATGCTACATTTATGTTCTTCCACCAATGGCGGCCGCCGTGGTCAACGTGGGGGGTTCTGTGCTTGGCCCTGGGGAAACTTTGCAAGGCCCCCCTCCCCACCACCACCCTCGCACCACTACCCGTAACCACGCACCCATTACTACGTACAACATGATTCCCCTCCGCTGACACCCAACCAGCCCCCAATGCTTGTGGGCTGACGCGGATCCTATTTGTCCGACCAGAGTCTATCATACTGCACTGTGCACAAACAGCAAAACAAAAAAACCGCCGTTGCAAGGGCCTCCTCTTTTTTTCAATACATACAGTACAGCGCATTCAGCCCCACGAACAGCACCATGGCTCTAACGTCATCCGGCCGCGGCTGTGGCCACAACATGCGCGCCCCTCGTGCCCCTCGTGCCCCTCATCGCGCTGCTTGGCGATATATCTTCCGCCATCTAGACATGCATTCAAACGCCGATGAGGCCATGTGTCGGGTATTGGTTACAGACTCCTCTTCAAATTAAGCCCTCAGCTGGTCCCCCTTTTTTGAATTCCCTCTCTTGAAATCCCGTGAACGACTGACACTGCTGGAGTTGCTGGAGTTGCTCACAATTGCCTGGTCGGACTATCCATTCCATCACCAGAACAGACATTCATCATGGCGCCGGTAGAAGTTCTCATGGTAAGTTTTGCTAGCAGTTCCTTGTCGGCAACGCGTTTTTATTTTCTCCTCCTCTTTCTCCCTCTTACCCCATCATGGCTTGCTCTCGAGCTCGTGACATGTCATGCAATACTGAAAGCTGCATGCGGCTTTATTTGTCGCCCCCTCAAGCACTTTCGTATGAGCGCAATCAAGTTAGCGAAACTATACACTAATGCATCGTCTAGGTCGGTACTGGAGAGTACACGACCGGATTCGTCGGAGGCGGTGCCTCAAAGTCTGACAAAAAGGTTGGTGTCGTAGGTTTGACACTGTTTGACCTCCGAAGACGGGGCAAGGTGGGCAAACTGTCCATGGTCGGCACATCCGGCGGCAAATTCCCTGCAATCCGTGAGTAACAATGCTGCCCCGGACTTGCATATGCCCCCAATATGCAAGGCGCTGATTTGACGTCAGGTGAGCATCTGCAAAAGAACATTTCCGAGGCATACAACAATTTGGACGTGTCTTTTGAGGAGTTTCCAAAAGAGGGCAAGACGGACCCAAATGCCTACAAGGCGGCGATTGATGCGCTTCCAAAAGGCAGTGCGAGTGAGTTACGAGTTGATAGTAGAATTACCCCTGCAATAACGCTGACGTCGGTTAGTTACAATCTTTACGCCCGACACCACTCACTACCCCATTGCCCTTTACGCCATTGAGCGTGGAATTCACGTTCTCATCACAAAGCCCGCAGTCAAATTGCTAGAACACCACCAAAAACTCCTCGAGGAAGCAAAGAAGCACAATGTATTTGTCTATATTGAGCATCACAAGCGATACGACCCTGCGTACGCTGATGCGCGCTTCAGGGCGCAGAAGTTGGGCGATTTCAACTATTTTTACTCGTACATGAGCCAGCCAAAGTATGTTTCTTTTCCGCCTTGGTTTCTTAATTTGCCGCAGAATGTAAGCAGTATCTAATTAGACCTCCAGGAGCCAGCTAGAGACTTTCAAGGCATGGGCCGGTGTGGATTCCGACATTTCCTACTACCTGAACTCTCACCACATCGATATCAACGAGTCCATGGTTCCTGGTTGGAAGCCAGTACGTGTCATGGCGAGTGCAGCAAAGGGAATCGCTACCGGGCTGGGCTGCGATCCCGCTACCGAGGATACCATTACATTGCTCACTAACTGGGTGAAGAAGGATGACCCCAGCAAAGTTGGAACTGGTGTCTACACAGCTGGCTGGGCAGCACCACAAAAGGCAGGTGTGCACTCGAATCAGTATTTCCACTACATGGCATCCACCGGAGAAATTCGTGTCAACCAGGCCAAGCGCGGTTACGACGTCACTGATGACGAGACCGGCTTGCTGTGGTACAACCCGTAAGTTTGAGTGGACACGGAGAAACCCCCGATTCGCGTACTGACCAGCTACAGATTCTACATGAAGTACGCCCCTGATGAAGAGGGCAACTTTGCAGGCCAAATTGGCTACGGATACATTTCATTTGAAAAGTTCATTGATGCTGTCAACAAGCTCAACGCGGGTGAAATCACTCTCGAGGAATTGGATGCGCGGCCACTACCAACTTTGAAGAACACCATCGCGACAACAGCCATTCTGGAGGCCGGCCGAAGATCTCTGGACGAAAACCGTCCTATCGATATCATTGAAGAAAATGGCGTCTGGTCGCTAAAGTAGATCACGCTGGTATTTAGTAAAATCCGTACTATACTGTTCATTTGAGCAGAGCTCCCACCACCGCCCGAGTGGCCTCCTTGCTCCTACTCACCCCTGCTTGACTCCCAGCCATGAAACACGCAATTACTGTTTACATGTAACCCCCAGATCGGCGGCATGGTGTAGTGTATCATGGCATATTTCCCGGTCGCACTGACCCACGCGTGAATGGACTCCACTTCGACGACCAGGTTTGAGCGATCGCCGGATCTGTCAGATCCATGCTAGGGCAAGCCCTTTTAGTGTCTCCCCACAACGTGGCGCCCTGCAGAACCCCCAGGAAGGGGCATGCGAAGATCGAAGCAAGAAAAATCCCCCCCGTTCGGGCTGTCTTTAGCCTGTTCCCGCGACCGGACTCGGGTGAATCCACTCCGACAGAACGGATAGGCTAATATACTTACTACTAGCACATCTCAGCTCCGACCGGTTTCTAGTCTCTAGTCCTGTGATCGTCTTGCATAGACCAACTGCTGTCACCCCTTCCCTAGCCCAGCCCTTGGCGAGGCAATGTCACTACCCTTGGGCTTGTCTTGTCTCAACTCCATGGACCCCCCCCCTTTCCCCCTTCCCGTGTGAATGCTTCTTTTTTTTCGTTCGCTAAGACCCTGAGGCGATCTTCCGACTTGACGGGAGAGGCGTAACGTCAGTGCATATGGAGAGTAGGATCCACTTTGTGCATCACACATGGTCGCCCTGGGCGTGGCCACTGTGCTGGGTGATTCCGTCGGCGTGGTTGAGGCAGTGTACTCACATACCACTCGTTCTTCCTTGCTGAGCGATGGGATCATGCGAGTCAGAGCTGCCCACGCGACAGTTGACAACCCCATTGCCCGTCCCTTTCCCACTGCTGATTGGAAGAGAGAGAGAGAGAGCTTGGAGCAAAGCTTGATTCGACTGCGTGATCTTTGACGTCGGCTTGCGTACGTAGTTACAAAAAATTCCTCCCTCCCTTCACCATTCCCTTGGCTTTCCCCCCCAATAACCAAAATCTCACACTCTATAAGTAATCACTCCTGCTATGAAAGCAAAACTACACACACACACTCCGGAGCCCAACCCCCCCACTCACTTTACGGAGGAAAAAACAGTACCCCCACGAGACAATCGCACCACGAGACACACACGCCATTTCTGAAACCCACACCCCCATTTAATATACTCTCTCCCCTCCCCTCCACCCTCAGATTTAGCCGCGCGGAAGGGGGGGTGGGGGGCGCAAGTAGACAAATACCGAAGATATTCGGGAGGTGCTGGGGGTGTTTTTTTTTTTCGCTTTTAAACCTCGTACATATTATCATACGAGAGTGCACCCGAATTTTTCTGCACGTGCCTCTCTCTCTCTTTCTTTTTTTGGTACCTACCTCCCAGAAAGCAGGGAGTGACATTAGGGAATAAAAGAGTGCAAATTCACAGTTGTCTGAGAATTGGCCGCTTAACTTCCCTTGTTCGTTTGAAGCAAATGATAAGTTGCGAATTTATGCGATTTGGGATTGGTAATATAACCGGGGGCTGGAGTTAGGGCAATTCAAGCGTTCGATTCATCCGTTGGGGCGTTTGTGTATGTAGAGGGGGGGGGCTTTAGCTAGTTGGGATAAAGTTATTAGTGTAAGTACCGTAAAGCCTAGCTAGTTCTGACGGGGCGGGGGTGGCCAGTGTCACGCTTTTTTGTGTAATATTATTGCTGTTATGAACTTGCCGGTAAAGGAACGCAATAGATTTCTAAGTGTTTGACTTGTCTTTTTATTTCTTATTTCTTATTTTGTTTTTTTGGGGACAGCGAACGGTTATGATGAGGGAATACTTGGGAGGAAGAAGGGGAGATTTAAGTGCTAACAACCCACCGGTAGATGTGGTTGAGGATGAGCGTTATGTAGACTGTGCGGTGTGGGGGTCCGGGTCGATCGTTATTTTACAACGGCTTTTTTTGGTAGAGGGCTAGACTACTCCTTGGTCCCTTTTTTATATTTTTCGGGTGTTCTAGAGGTATTGTTTTTCCATGTCGACGCCTTGGCACATTCCTGCTGCGAGTTTCATTATCGGGTATGTCGATGACTTCATTCCACTCGTACAAGTTCAAGCATCTCAAATGAACGATGGTTA